AAATTTGGGGGGGGGAAGAAATTTTTATGTTTCCATGGCAACGGGGTAGAACGGTGGGGTGGCCTCTGACCTGGGGGAGTCCTGGCTGCCAGGATCCCCTGACCTTTGACCTTTCACCCCTGCTTGTGACTTCCATGGAAACCATGGGCACCTTGTTGAACTTTGACCTTTCCTGACCCCAGCAGGGACCCCTGACCCGATGATCATCTGGCCTCCAGAAACCTCTGACCCCCAATCCAGTGATGCCCCTGACCTCCATTGACCTCTGACCCCCCCGGAATCCTTGTCACATTTGACTGCTCTGACCTCTGACCCCCCTGACCTTTCTGACCCATGACCCCACCAGCATTTCTGGCCTTTGACCTCCCAGGGACCTTTGACCCCCCACTGACCTTTGCCACATTGACTGGTCTGAGCTCTGACCTCTGACCCCCATTGGCCTCTGTGACCTCTGAACCTCACCAGTCTTTGACCTCTGACCCCCAGTGACCCTCCATCCTCAATGATTTGTAATCTCTGACCCCATTAACCTTTCTGACCTCTGCCCCTTGGGGATCTTTGTCCCCCATGAACTTTTGACCCATTGGCTTTCTCTGACCCCCTAACCCGCATTGACCTCTGACCTCTAGGAATCTGTGACTCCCCCCATTGACCTCTCTGACCTGTGACCCGCTGGGAACCTCTCACCCCCGCCCCCCCCAGGAACCTCTGACCTCATTGGCCAGTCAGACCCGTGACCCCCTGACCCACCCCCAGGGGGCAAAGTGCTACCCCCTACTGGGGAGGTGGAGCAATAACAGGCGGGGGCCAGGACCATACTGGGGGAGGGCTCGTTCCCACAGCACCACCCCATTCAGGACCCCCCCAGCTCCATATCTGTGGGGGGAGGTGTTCAGAAGGGGTGGGGGGGGTCCTGGGGCAGGAGGCACAGGTTGGGGGGCAGAGACCCCCCCATGGGGCTGCAGGGGAAGGGATGGGGGTCAGAGAGCATGGGGGGTTAGGGAATGAGAGGGATCCTGGGGAAAGGGTCGGGGGTCTGAAATGGTGTGAGGGGGTTTAATAGAGGGATGGGGGCAGAGGGGGTCTCTGGGGGGTGCAATGGGGGTGACCAAGGGTGCCAGGGGGCAATGGGGTCCTATTAGGGTCTTTTAAGGGGGGGCAGGACTATTTGACCCCTACCCAGGCCCCATAGCAGCCAATCCCCCCTTTCCAGAGACACCCCCCCATCCCTCCAGACTCCCCTCCACCCCGGCCTGGGGAAAGGGGCGTCACCGGGGGTCCCCAGGGACGGGCGTGGAGGGGGGATCGGCAGACTCACGGGCAGGGGGGCAGGAGTCACCTTGAGTGACACTGCCTCTCTCTGCCCCCCGATCTCTCTCTCTGCCCCCCGATCTTGCTCTGCCCCCCGATTGCTCTCTGCCGCCAATCTGTGCCCTCCGATCTCTCTCTGCTCCCCGCAATCTCTCTTTGCTCAAATCTCTGCCCCCGATCTCTCTCTCTGCCCCCCGATCTCTGCTCCCCATGATCTCTCTCTGTCCCCTGATCTCTCTCTTCCCCCCATTTCTCTCTGTCCCCCCCACTCTCTGTCTGCCCCCAATCTCTGCTCCCCCAATCTCTCTCTGCCGCCAACCTCTCTCTCTGCCACCAATCTCTGCTCCCCCTGATCCCTCCCTGCTCCCCCCAATCTCTGTCTGTCCCCCATTTCTCTCTCTCTGCTCCCCCTGATCTCTCTCTGCCCCCCATTTCTCTCCATCCCCGTCCCCCCCAGATATCCGGGACAGCGGGAAGAAGCCAGTGATGCTGTTCCTGCACGGTGGCTCCTACATGGAGGGGACGGGGAACATGTTCGATGCCAGCGTCCTGGCCGCCTATGGCAACGTCATCGTCGTCACCATGAACTACCGTCTAGGGGTGCTGGGTAAGGGCCCCCCCCAGCCGCCCCTCCCCCTCCCTGGGATCCCAGCCCCCTGCCCCCATGTGTCAACCCCCCCCAACCGGGATCCTGCCGGCGGAGCAGGGGTGGGGTAACTACGCAGGAAGCCTCGAATTGCCCCCCCCAGTGTGTGTGTTGGGGGGGGGCATATCCTTGTCCCATACCCCCCCACCACCGCCAATCTCCGAGCCCAGCGTGTGAAATTTACAGATCGGCGGCTGGAATGAATATTTAATTACAGTGAAAGGGGGCGGGGCGGGGGGGGGAACCCAGAGCTGATGAGAATGACTGGCGAGGCCTCATTAGTGCTAACGAGGGGCCTCGGGGTTGCGGGGAGCGAGAGAATTAATTTTTTATCCACTTTTTTTTTTTTCTGTTTCGGGTTGACATTAATTGGGGACGGGGGGCACGGGCAAAGTGCTCGGAAATCAGTTGAAATCAAATGTCACCTTTCCTCTGGGGCGGGGCGGCTGGTGCCCCGGGGACCCCTCGCCCGGCGCCGAGATGCGGCCACCTCTGGGGCGGGGCGGCTGGCGACCCAGGGGAGCGACTCCTAACCCCGGTCTCCGTGTCCAACCCCACCCCCTCAGGATTCCTGAGCACCGGGGACCAGTCGGCCAAGGGGAACTATGGGCTTTTGGACCAGATCCAGGCCCTGCGGTGGCTCAACGAGAACATCGGGCACTTTGGGGGGGACCCCGAACGCATCACCATCTTCGGGTCCGGCGCCGGAGCCTCCTGCGTCAACCTCCTCATCCTGTCCCACCACTCAGAAGGTACCAGTTGCCCCCCTCCTCCCCGCCCCCAAGCCGCATTCCCCGCCCCCATGAGCCAGCTATATCTATCTATCTATCCATCCATCCATCCATCCCCATCCACCCCTTCTATCTATCCATCCATCCATCCATCCATCCATCCCCAGACACCCCCTCCATCCATCCATCCATCTATCCCCATCTACCCTCTCTATCTATCTATCTATCCATCCATCCATCCCCAGACACCCCCTCCATCTATCTATCTATCTATCTATCTATCCCCAGACACCCCCTCTATCGATCTATCCCCATCCACCCATCTATATCCATCCATCTATCCATCCATCCCCAGACACCCCCCTCTATCTATATATCTATCCATCCATCCCCATCCACCCCCTCTATCTATCTATCTATCCATCCCCAGACACCCCCCTATCGATCTATCTATCCTCATCCACCCATCTATATCTATCTATCTATCTATCGATCCCCATCCACACCTTCTACCTATCTATCTATCTATCTGTCCCCATCCACCCCTTCTATCTGTCTATCTATCCCCAGATACAGGCCTCCGTCCATTCACCCTCCGATCCCCACAGCACACGTATCTCCCCCTCTTGCTCTCTCTGACCCTCTCTCCCTCCCCGACAGGTCTCTTTCAAAAGGCCATAGCTCAGAGTGGCACGGCCATCTCCAGTTGGTCCGTCAACTACCAGCCCCTGAAATACACCCGCATGCTGGCCTCCAAGGTGGGCTGTGACCACCTGGACACCAGCGAGACGGTGGATTGCCTGCGCCGAAAGCCGTACCGGGAGCTGGTCGACCAGGACATCCAGCCGGCCCGTTACCACATCGCCTTTGGGCCAGTGGTGGACGGGGACGTGGTGCCGGACGACCCGGAGATCCTCATGCAGCAGGGGGAATTTCTCAACTACGACATCCTGATCGGGGTGAACCAGGGCGAGGGGCTGAAATTCGTGGAGGACTCGATGGAGAACGAAGACGGGATTTCGGCCAGCTACTTCGACTTCACCATCTCCAACTTCGTGGACAACCTCTACGGCTACCCCGAGGGGAAAGACATCCTGCGGGAGACCATCAAGTTCATGTACACGGACTGGGCCGACCGGGACAACGGGGAGATGCGGCGGAAGACCCTGCTGGCGCTCTTCACCGACCACCAGTGGGTGGCGCCGGCCGTGGCCACGGCCAAGCTCCACGCCGAATACCAGTCCCCCGTGTACTTCTACACCTTCTACCACCACTGCCAGACCGACACCCGGCCCGAGTGGGCCGACGCCGCCCACGGGGACGAAATCCCCTATGTCTTCGGGGTGCCCATGATCGGCGCCACCGACCTCTTCCCCTGCAACTTCTCCAAGAACGACATCATGCTGAGCGCCGTGGTCATGACCTACTGGACCAACTTTGCCAAGACGGGGTGAGCGGGCCCCAGAGGGGCATGGGGGGCAAGCGGGGAGGGAAGAGAAGGAGGGGCCATGGGGCCGGTAGTCTTGGGATAGGGCATAGGGGAGAAGCCGGGTGGGATGTAAGCAAATGGTCGGGAGGGATGGGGACAGATGGATAAATGGGAAGGAGGGAGGCAGGGGTGTGCGGGGAAAGGACAGCTGGGGGTGGTTGTGGGAATAGATGAGGGATGTGGGGATGGATGGGAGGGAGGGCGGGGGGCTGGATGGGGGTGGGGAGATGGACGGATGGATGGGCAGGGAGGGAGGGATGGACGGACGGATGCGTGGAGTGGATGGATGTGGAGGGAGGGCTGGGGAGGGAGGGCAGGGGGCTGGATGGGGGTGGGGAAATGGGTGGGTGGGTGAGGGGATGGATGGACGGATGTGTGGACTGGATGGATGCGGAGGGATGGATGGGTGGATGAGGGGATGGATGGATGGACGGATGGGGAGGGAGGGATGGATGGACGGACGGATGCGTGGAGTGGATGGATGAGGGGATGGATGGACGGACGGATGCGTGGAGTGGATGGATGAGGGGATGGATGGACGGACGGATGCATGGAGTGGATGGATGAGGGGATGGACGGACGGACGGATGCGTGGAGTGGATGGATGAGGGGATGGATGGACGGACGGACGGATGGGTGGGTGGGGGATGGATGCGTGGAGGGGATGGATGGATGGATGGACGGTGGGATGGGTGGGTGGGGAGGGAGGGATGGATGCATGGGGGGAATGGATGGATGTGGGGCAGATAGCAGTGAGGAATGTGTTGCACCCGTATCCATCTTGAAGACCTGAGGCCCCCTAGAAACACTCCCCCTCCCGCGGTTGCCTCTGGGCCAGATTCCCCCCCCACCCCATAACCCCATCTCCCCTCCTTGCAGGGACCCCAACCAGCCAGTGCCGCAGGACACCAAATTCATCCACACCAAGCCGAACCGCTTCGAGGAGGTGGTGTGGACCAAGTTCAACACCAAGGACAAGCAATACCTCCACATCGGCCTCAAGCCCCGGGTGCGGGACAACTACCGGGCCAACAAGGTGGCTTTCTGGCTGGAGCTTGTGCCCCACCTCCACCACCTCCACGACCCCGTCTACACCTCCACCACCACCCGCGTCCCGCCCTACGGCACCCGCTGGCCCCCCGGCTCCCGGGCGGGGCCCAGCACCACCCGCCGGCCCTTCCCCACCCTGCCGCCGGACGAGGACGAGGCGGACGACCGCCGGCGCTACGCCCCTTTCCCGGGGGACTCGCGGGACTACTCCACCGAGCTGAGCGTCACCGTGGCCGTGGGGGCCTCCTTGCTCTTCCTCAACATCCTGGCCTTCGCCGCCCTCTACTACAAGCGGGACAAGCGGCACGAGCTGCGGGCGGGCGTGCTGGGAGGCCGGCGCCCCAGCCCCCAGCGCAACGCGGCCAACGACCTGGTGCACGGAGGCCAGGAGGAGGAGCTCATGTCCCTGCAGATCAAACACTCGGAGCACGACGCTCACGACCTGGAGGTGCTGAGACCCCACGAGATCCTGCGCCCGGCCTGCCCTCCGGACTACACCCTGGCTCTGCGCCGGGCGCCGGACGACGTGCCCCTCATGACGCCCAACACCATTACCATGATCCCCAGTACCATTACGGGCATGCAGGCCCTGCACCCTTTCAACACCTTCCCCACCGGGCACAACAACACCCTGCCCCACCCTCACTCCACCACCCGGGTATAGTTGCCTCTCCCACCCCAGCCACGGGGAAATTGCGGCCAAGGGACAGGGCCCTTCCTCTCTGCCCAGCCGCCGACCCCTGACCGCGGGGGGGCGGGAGGGGTGGGGGGGAAAGAAAGGGAGACGAGGCATCTTTTGTGTGCCGCGCAGTCGGGGCTTTTGGGGTGGGGGGGTTCTTTTATACAATAATTAAGGAAGGGGATCTGCGGGCCAAGCTCGAAGGAGGAGGTCTCCCACACACGATGAGAATCGACTGGTTCCTTTCGGACGGATGGTGGGGTCTTGGCACTGGAGGGAAACCGACCGTACTTTGCTCATCGGCGGAGGTGCCCGGCACCCTTCCCAATGCGGTGTCAGCACTGGGGGGCAAGGGGGCATTGGAGAGGGACCGTCCATCCTTCGTTCACCTTGGGGGACAGCAGAGAGGCCCGATGCCCTTCACGAACAGGGTAGGAGCATTGGGGAGTGTTGGAAAGAACCACCCGATCCTTTGCTCCTCTTCGACAGAGGATAGAGACGTCCAGCGTCCTTCCCGACACGGTCTCGGCACTGGAGAAAAACCGACTGTTATTAATTCATCTTGAATGGATGATGCGGGTGCCAACACCCTTCCTCATCTGGCAACAGCACGGGAGGGTGTTGGAGAGGTGCCGTCTGTCCTTGGTTCCTCTTGGATGGATAGCGGAGACCCCCAATGTCCTTTCCAACGCAGTATCAGCAACGGAAGGTGTTGGAGCGGAAAGCGACCATCTTTCACTCATCTTGGGCGGATGGTGGAGACGCACCCAACACTCTTCCCAACGTTGTATCAGCTCTGAAAGGTGTCGGAGGAAAACCGACCATCCCTCACTCCTCGTGGACGGGTGGTGGGAACGCCCTTCCCAAGGTAGCACCGGAACTGTACAGTGTTGGAGAGCCACTGACCCCTTTTTCGCTCATCTTGGCTGGAGGATGGAGACGCTCAACCATTTTCCCAACATCGTATCTGCACCGGACGGCGTTGGAGGGAGGCCGACTGCCCATGGTTCGTCTCGGCTGCATTATGGAGACGCTCAATGATTTTCCCAACGTCGTATCTGCACCGGACGGCTTTGGAGAGAGGCCAACTGCCCATGGTTCCTCTCGGCTTGATTATGGAGACGCTCAACGGTTTTCCCAAAGTCGTATCTGCACCAGACGGCTTTGGAGAGAGGCCAACTGCCCATGGTTCCTCTCGGCTTGATTATGGAGACGCTGAATGGTTTTCCCAAAGTTGTATCTGCACCAGACGGCTTTGGAGAGAGGCCGACTGCCCATGGTTCGTCTCGGCTGGATTATGGAGACGCTCATTGGTTTTCCTAACATAGTATCTGCACCGGACGGCGTTGGAGAGAGGCCGACTGCCCATGGTTCGTCTCGGCTGGATTATGGAGACGCTCAACGGTTTTCCCAACATCGTATCTGCACCAGATGGCTTTGGAGAGAGGCCGACTGCCCATGGTTCATCTCGGCTGGATTATGGAGACGCTCAACGGTTTTCCCAATGTCGTATCTGCACCAGACGGCTTTGGAGAGAGGCCGACTGCCCATGGTTCGTCTCGGCTGGATTATGGAGATGCTCAAAACTCTACCCAGAGTGGTGTTGAATGGAACCCAACCGTTCTTCAGTCCTTTGGGGCGTAAGGCGAAGGAACCAGCGTCTTTCCTGGTGTGGCATTGGTAGTCCAGGACGTTTGAGAGAAGCCAACAGTTCTTCACTCATGACCGAGAAGCCAGCCCCCCCCGCATCCACCCACCCACCACTATTGGAGAGGAAACCACCTGCCCCACAGAGGCCAGAAACGGGGGAAAGTTACACCTGGAAATTGTTTTTTTTCGTGGGGGGGGAATTCAACTCGATTTTTTTCCAAGCCAAACTTTGAATGTAACGACGACTCGAGATTCAGTTTTTTTCGGGGTTGGGGAGGGTCAGGAATGCGGGGGGGGGGTCGTAATTTTTTTTTAACAACTAAGAGACATTTTTTGTGGGGGGGGAGGGGTGGAATGGGAAAATTGTTTTAAAAAAAACAACAAAAAACCAGGCGCGTTGCATGTTCCAATCCCGATAAAGAAAAACGGTGACACAAAAAAGAAAGGAATGAGAAAAAAGAACGAAAGGAGGGAAAAAGCAGATGGGATGGAATTGATCTATTCCCTTAACCCCTCTCCCCATCTCTATCTCCGCCGGCCACTTTTTCCTTCACTCTTTCCAGCCGGCCAAGAGTCTCCTCTCCACTCCTCCGCTACATGCTTTTTCCTTCTGTTCTTCCTCCCAGGCCTCTCTCTCTTCCTCCGCTGGCTCGTTTTCCCCTTCTCTCGTTGCCGCTCGCTGACTGTCGGTGCCAAATCCCCAGCTTCCCCCCACCTCTGCCCCTGCCCCAGAAACGAGGGAACGAACAAATGAAAAAGTGCCAAACAACCTGGGGGATATTTGTATCGCCTGCGGGAGGGGGAAGGGGGCTGTGAATCGCCAGCTACCCCCATAGAGGGGTGTCTCCGAGGGAGGGCAGTTGCTGGGGGGCAGTCTGCAGGGGGAGAGGGGAGCTGTGTTTGGGGGTGAAGGTGGGTATAAGACCCCCACGGATCAAAGAAAGGTTAACCTATGTTGGAGCCCTGAGCTAGCCCCCCATCAGCTCTTTCGAGCCATCTGTTGGCATTGTACGCACATATCTCTCTACCTGTCTGTCCGTCCGCCCCGGTACATATCTACCGGTCTGTCTGTCCGCCCCGGTACATATCTACCTGTCTGTTTGTCCATCCCCGTACATATCTACCTGTCTGTCCATCCATCCCCGTACATATCTACCTGTCTATCCACGCATCCCCGTACATATCTATCTGTGTGTCCGTCCATCCATCCCGGTACATATCTACCGGTCTGTCTGTCCATCCCCGTACATATCTACCTGTCTATCCATGCATCCCCATACATATCTACCTGTCTGTCCGTCCATCCCGGTACATAGCCACCTGTCTGTCTGTCCGTCCTGGTACATATCTACCTGTCCATCCACGAATCCCCGTACATATCTGTCTGTCTGTCCGTCCGTCCCCGTACATATCTACCTGTCTATCCACGAATCCCCGTACATATCTGTCTGTCTGTCCATCCGTCCCCGTACATATCTACCTGTCTATCCATGAATCCCCGTACATATCTACCGGTCTGTCCGTCCGTCCCCGTACATATCTACCTGTCTATCCACGAATCCCCATACATATCTACCGGTCTGTCCGTCCGTCCCCCTACATCTCGCGCTCTCTCTCTCTCTCTCTCGCTCTACCTCCCTCCCCATCCACCCCCTCTATCCATCTATTTCTCTATCACCCTAATTAGAGGCTCAACTTAAATGTACACCCCAAACTAAAAAAATGAGTAAGAAAACCCAAAAAGAGCCACCTGGCTAAACCAGTAGACGAAGCAGTGAGAGGCAGAGAGGCATCCTTTAAAAAGTGGAAGTTAAATCCTAGTGAGAAAAGAACAGGAGGACTTGTGGCACCTTAGAGACTAACCAATTTATTTGAGCAGAAGCTTTCGTGAGCTACAGCCCACTCCAGAAAGGAGCATAAACACTGGCAAATGAAGTGTGTAAATACCATTAGGAAGGCCAAAAAAGAATTGGAGGGACAGCTAGCCAAAGACTCAGAAAGTAATAGCAAAAAAAAATTTTAAGTACATCAGAAGCAGGAAGCTGCTAAACAACAAGTGGGGCCCCTGGATGATCGAGGTGCTAAAGGAGCAATCAAGGACAATAAGGCCATTGCGGAGGTCTCTAAAATCATGACTGGTGTAGAGAAACTAAAGAAGGATGTGTTATTTACTCCTTCTCATAACACAAGAACTTGGGGGGTCACTCAATGAAACGAATAGACAGCAGGTTTAAAACAAATAAAAGGAAGTATTTCTTCCCACAACGCACAGTCAACCTGGGGAACTCCTCGCCAGGGGATGTTGTGAAGGCCAAGACTGTAACAGGGTTCAACAAAGAACTGGATAAGTTCCTGGAGGACAGGTCCATCAATGGCTATTAGCCAGGCTGGGCAGGGATGGTGTCCCTAGCCTCTACTTGCCAGCAGCTGGGAATGGTCGACGGGATGGATCACTTGATGATTCCCTGTTCTGTTCCTTCCCTCTGGGGCACCTGGCATTGGCCACTGTCAGCAGACAGGACGCTGGGCTGGATGGACCTTTGGTCTGAGCCAGTAGGGCCGTTCTTACGTTCTTCAGTTCTATCTGTCCATCCCTATACACCCCCCTCTATCTATCTATCCCTATACACCCCCTCTCTCTATCTATGGGTCATGGAGTCCCCAGGCCATGCTCTGGAACTGCTCCCTACGAAGCCAGGCAGGACTCTGGGGAGTCTCCTCTTCTGGGAGCAGCCTGTCTGCAGGACACCCAGCTCACACAACTTCCACCTTCCTGGGTCTGACCTCGGAGCAACCAGCCTCCTCCTGCCCCTCCGTGCGCTTCCCACAGCGAGTCCACCCGGGTGGGGTCCTGGGGCAGCCAGAGGGTCCTGCCCCCCAACTCCGCAGTCAGACGGGACTCTCAGCCAGCCAGTAACACAGAAGGTTTATTAGACGACAGGAACATGATCTAACACAGAGCTTGTAGGTGCAGAGAACAGGACCCCTCAGCTGGGTCCACTTTGAGGGGCACTGGCCCCCCAGGGCTCGGCAACAATCACACCCCCCCCTTATCCCACCACCTCGAGACTTAAGAAATGCTGAGGGGAAACTGAGGCACCCCTACAGCATTCAGAGAGAACATTAAGAACAGCCCCCCTTCGTCACACCGTCTATCTATCTCCACCCCCCCGTCTATCCCCATCCACCCCCTCTATCTATCTTTCTCCATCCACCCCCTCTATCTATCTATCTATCTATCCATCCATCCATCTATCCCCATCCACCCCTTCTCTCTATCCATACACCCATTCCTCTATCTAGCTAGCCAGCCAGCCAGCCCTCCCCATGAATATCTGTGCATTACCATCTCTCTCTAGGTAAACCCCCCCCCCCCCCATACACGTCTTTCTTTCCTTCCCATCTCCAGGTCTCCCCCTCTCTCCACCTCCCATGCTGGGCTGCGAGATGGAGGCGCGGTACCCGGGGACCCCCGACGCCCGCCTCCCAGCGCCCCTTCCCGTCCCTCTCCGCCCTGGCGCCGACCAGAGACAGCCCGAGAGCAGACGGGGGCCAGGAGGGGGGCGAACGCCTCCGTCTAAGGAGCACAGTGGTGTTCGCCTCCCCCGCCTGTCTCTCTTTGCTTCCCGTTGGCTGGGGGGGCGGGCAGGGGGGGTTAATACCTCTCCAGCGGGGATTTCGTTTGTTCAATCCAGTTTGTGAAACTTGTGCCAAACTCAGCAACTTTTGGGGTGGCCGGAGGGGGGGGGTCTGTTTTCAGCAGAGGTGGGGGTTGTTTTTTTCTGGAGGGGGTTGGCTGGGCCTGGTGCCATCTACCCCAGAGCTGAATTCAGCTGCTTTTCCGGCATCCCGACGGCACGCTCCCGACCGACCCCCCCCCCCCCGGCCATGGCCTTATGCTGGTGCCAAATGACACTTACTGCCCCCCCGTTCCGCTCTTGCACGCCCAGCGGTCCTGTCTTTGCCGGACACGGCACTCGTTCGGTTTGGAAATCCAAGATGGCTGCCCAGGCGGTGAAATCCAAGATGGCCACCAATGGGGCCCAAACCCCAGAGGGTCGCCAGGGTGGTGAAATCCAAGATGGCTGCCCGGGAGGTGAAATCCAAGATGGCCACCAATGGGGCCCAAACCCCAGAGAGTCCCCAGGGTGGTGAAATCCAAGATGGCTGCCCGGGCAGTGAAATCCAAGATGGCCACCAATGGGACCCAAACCCCAGAGGGTCGCCAGGGTGGTGAAATCCAAGATGGCCACCAATGGGGCCCAAACCCCAGAGGGTCACCAGGGTGGTGAAATCCAAGATGGTTACCCAGGCAGTGAAATCCAAGATGGCCACCAAGGGGGTCGAACCCCAGAGGGCAGCCAGGGTGTTGAATTCCAAGATGGCTGCCCCTGGCCTGAAATCCAAGATGGCTCCCACTGCGGTGAAATCCAAGTTGGCCACCAGTGTGCCAAAATCCAAGATGGCTGCCTGGGCGGTGCAATCCAAGATGGGCCACTTGTACGCTGCGATCACAGATGGGGGCCCTGTTTCTCAAACCCAAGATGGCCGAGGCCGGGCAGTGTTCTGAATTCCAAGATGGCCGCCAATGAGGGACTTCCTTTTCCTAACTCCAAGATGGCTGCCGGTGGGGAGGGGGCCCTTCCTGAGTGAACAGCCAACCTGGCTGCCCGCGGCGCATTTCTGGCCGGCTGTGGGCCTCGTGGCCCCCTCAAAGGCCAATCCAGCCCCCCGCGGGCCGTCCTTGGTCTCCCATCAAAGATGGCCGCCGATGGGCTCTTGTCATTCTCACGTTCAACATGGCTGCCGGGGGGGGAGGGGGGCCTTTCCCTGGCCGGCCGGCCGCCATCATGGCCACTGCCCCAGCCCTTTGCCTGGCCTACCGTCAAGATGGCTACCACGGCAACCCCTTCCCCGGCCTACTGCCAAGATGGCCGTCCTCCTCGGCCTACAACCAAGATGGCCGCCAGGAATGCCAACCCCTCCGCCCCTCGCCAGGGCCTCCCCACCAGGATTCAGAGTGTCTATTTTTATTCCTGAGACTCCAGGGAGGAGGAGCTATTTTGGGGGGACACCCCAGTCGGCCCCCTCCACCCCCCCGCCAGCAAGAGACCCCGAGACTTTGGACACCCCCCCGCCCCCAAACCAGGATCGAGGGAGACGAGAGACACGACAAAGGGACCTTTTTTTGTTTGTTTTGCAGGGACTGTACGGTTCGTGTCTCCGCCGCCCACCCCCGCCAGCGCGGACCGTGGGGGGCGGAGCCGTGGGGCGTGGGGGCGGAGCCGTGGGGCGCAGGGAGCTGTACACATTTTTAAAACATTGCAAGAAATGAAACTTATTGTAAATATAAAACCAAAAAAGTTTAACCGACTCGGCTTGCAGTGACCCCACCCCACCAGGGCCCCCCCACCTTCCTCGGGGTCCCCCACTTCCCAGCCATCCTCCCCTGGGCCACCAGGGCCCCCACCTCCCTTGGGGACCCCAACTCCTGGACGTCCTTCCCAGCCCCGGCCCGGGTACCCCACCTCCCAGCCACCCTCTCGCATCCCCACTGGGGCCCCCACCTCCTTTGGGGTCCCCCAACTCCCTGCCACTTTCCAATGCCCCCCGAAGGTCCCCAGCCTCCCAGACACCCCCTCACACCCCTGGACCCTCCCCTCCTAGCCCCCCGGCACCACCACCTCCCAGCCACCCTCACCTGCCCCCCTGGACCCCCACTTACCAACCCCCTTCCCCAACCTCCCACTGCTCCTCTCCCCAACCCCACCCTCCCATTCCCCCCTTCCCTTCATGCCACCTCCCACGTCCTCCCCTGACCCACTGCCCCACCCCCACGGCTTTCCTTGACCCCCGGCTCCTCCTTACCCCCCCCCCACCACTGTCGTCACCCCAAGTCTCAGATCTGAAAGTGATTGTGGGTCACAGCCCCCCCCACCCCCAACCCACAACACAGGGGCCTGGCTGGCTCAGGGGGGCTGGGAATGGGGCACGGGGCCTGTCCCCTCTAGGGGGCGCATCATACTGGGCTTGGAGGCCTGTGGGGCGGAGTCCCATTGCCCCCCACTTCTCCGGAGGAGGGGGAGGCTGGGAATCATCCATCTCAGCAAGACACCTCTGAGGTTTCCTGGGCTCCTTGGGTGGGGGGTGGGGGACAGACCCAGCCCCCCCGCCGCTGCCTTGTTCTCCCCGAAATCAGCTGATCTGCCTCCTACAGGAAGAGGAAAGGGAGGGGAGTTACAGTAACAGAACCCAGGAGTCCTGGCTCCCAGCCCCCCCAGCTCTAACCCACCAGCCCCCACTGCCCTCCCAGAGCCGGGGAGAGAACCCAGAGTCTCCCCGCCCCCCACTCTACCCACCACCCCCACTGCCCTCCCAAACCGGGGAGAGAACCAGGTTGCTCCCACCCCCCAGCTCTAACCCACCAGCCCCCACTGCCCTCCCAGAGCCAGGGAGAGAACCCAGGAGTCCTGGCTCCCAGCCCCCCCCCAGCTCTAACCCACCAGCCCCCACTGCCCTCCCAGAGCCGGGGAGAGAACCCAGGAGTCCTGGCTCCTAGCCTTCCCCCTTGCAGGGGCAATTCCTGGCTACTCCAGTCCAAGCCTCTCCCAGCAGGGGGCGCTGTGTGTTTGCGGGGGGGGGGGCACAGGAATCCAGGACACTTCTCCCCCCCCCCCCCCCTAATCACTGCGAGGAGCCGCAGAGCTCGGCGCTGACCTAGATATTTCTGCCAACGGTGCAAGATCCCGGCCCTGGTGATGCAGGAGCAGGAGGGAGGGACGCGAACTGGGGTTGTGGGGGGGCGCTGGGGGGCAGGGGGCAGGACAGGGGACGGGCTTGTCTCACAGATGCTCCAGCCCAGAAGCAGCTGCATGGCATTCCTGGCTGCATTCCCCACCCACAGCTCGGCGCTGGGCTGGCAGGGGGCTGCGGGGCGGGAGTGGGGGGCCCCGATAGAGCTGGGGGGCAGGGCTGGGGGGCAGGGGGCTGCAGGTCGGGAGTGGGGGGCACCGGCGGGGCTGGGGGGGGCAGGGGGCTCTGGGTCGGGAATGAGGGGGCTCCGGGTCAGGAGTGGGGGGGGCACCGGCGGGGCTGGGGGGGGCAGGGGGCTGCGGGTCGGGAGGGGGGCACCGGCGGGGCTGGGGGGGGAGGGGGCTCCGGGGCGGGAGTGGGGGGGGCACCGGCGGGGCTGGGGGGGCAGGGGCCTGCGGGTCGGGAGGGGGGGGCACCGGCGGGGCTGGGGGGGGGGCAGGGGGCTCCGGGTCGGGAGTGGGGGGGCACCGGCGGGGCTGGGGGGGGCAGGGGGCTCCGGGTCGGGAGTGGGGGGGGCACCGGCGGGGCTGGGGGGGGCAGGGGGCTCCGGGTCGGGAGTGGGGGGGCACCGGCGGGGCTGGGGGGGGCAGGGGTCTCCGGGTCGGGAGTGGGGGGGCACCGGCGGGGCTGGGGGGGGCAGGGGGCTGCGGGTCGGGAGGGGGGGCAGCGGCGGGGCTGTGGGGGGCAGGGGGCTGCGGATCGGGAGGGGGGGGCACCGGCGGGGCTGGGGGGGGCAGGGGGCTGCGGGTCGGGAGGGGGGGGCACCGGCGGGGCTGGGGGGGGATTTATAAATAGCCCCCTGCCCCTGTCACACGGAGCCGCCTGCGCGAATCCCAGCTGAAGGGGGCGGGGGGGGGATTCGCCGTGGGGGGGGGGGTTGGCGGAGGTAACCATGGCAACGCTGTGGTCCACGAGCTCACCCTGCATTGCGGGGGGGGGGGGGGGGGGGGAGCCCGGCGCCGAGATGCGGCCACCTCTGGGGCGGGGCGGCAGCGCCGAACACGGCAACGGGTCGTTCCCCCTCGCCCTGGTTCACACCGAATTTCGTTCTCGCTTCACTCCGGCGCGCCCCAGTTCCCAGGGGCCCCGAGTCGGCAGCTTCCAGCCCTGGCTCCAGCCCCCGGGACCCCGCCCCCGGGGGGGTCCCCTGCGCCCCTCACTCCTCCCCCACCCTGCTTCTCTCCCCGGCTCCGGAAGAGGAGTGGGGGGCTGGGGGGTTAGGGCAGGGGGGTTGGGAGCCAGGACTCCTGGGTTCGCTCCCCGGCTCTGGGAGAGGAGTGGGGGGTCTGGGGGGTTCGGGCAGGGGGGGCTGGGAGCCAGGACTCCTGGGTTCGCTCCCCGGCTCTGGGAGAGGAGGGGGGGGGGGGTCTGGGGGGTTAGGGCAGGGGGGTTGGGAGCCAGGACTCCTGGGTTCTCTGGCTAGCTCTGGGAGAGGAGTGGGGGGCTGGGGGGTGAGAGCAGGGGGGGCTGGAAGCCAGGACTCCTAGGTTCGCTCCCCGGCTCTGGGAGGGGAGTGGGGGGCTGGGGGGTTCGGGCGGGGGGGCTGGGAGCCAGGACTCCTGGGTTCGCTCCCCGGCTCTGGGAGGGGAGTGGGGACCTGGGGGGTTAGGGCAGGGGGGGCAGGGAGCCAGGGGATCCTCTGTAGGGTCCTGGAGCCCTCTGGTGGCAAATCCCTGGAGTGTCTCCTGCATTGTGGGACACCCCTGCCCCCCACCTCCTGCAGGGTGAGACCTCGGCCCCCTTCCCCGCCCCACTGAGGCAGCCAGTCCCCGCCCTGGGGCCGGCTGGACGCTGAGACACATCGACACCAGTAGGGGGCAGCACGTGCCCGCGTGTCACAATGGCGGCTCTGCCTCCCCCTGCAGGATGCCCCGGGAACTGCATCACAATGTTCCGGGCCGGGGCCCCCCGCCTCCCCCCGCCCCGCGCTCCCCAGTCAGCTGTGCCGGCAGGGTGGGGGGCAGGGATGCAGGGCCCGGCTCGCAGGCTCCCGGCCCCACCCCCTCTCCGATGGGGGAGACCCCCTGCCCCCGGTGCCCCATCTCCGGCCCCTGCTGCCTGGACGTTCAGGACACGGTCCTCCTCCTGGTGGCGCTCACCCTGCTGGGGCAGGTCGTCCTGAAGATCGTGACGGTGGTGGGCGGCGCTAGGGGGCGCTGGGGGGCAGGGAGCGGGGCGGGGGGCTCGGCAGGGGGCGCTCTCCCCCGGCAGGCGGGGCTGGCCCCAGGGCGGCGCTAGGGGGCGCTGGGGGGCAGGGAGCAGGGCGGGGGGCTCGGCAGGGGGCGCTCTCCCCCGGCAGGCGGGGCTGGCCCCAGGGCGGCGCTAGGGGGCGCTGGGGGGCAGGGGCGGGCGGGGCTCGGGGGGGCGCTCTCCCCGCAGGCGGGGCTGGCCCCAGGGCGGCGCTAGGGGGCGCTGGGGGTAGGGAGCGGGGCGGGGGGCTCGGCAGGGGGCGCTCTCCCCCGGCAGGCGGGGCTGGCCCCATGGCGGCGCTAGGGGGCGCTGTGGGGCAGGGGGCGGGGCGGGGGACGCTCTCCCCCGGCAGGCGGGGCTGGCCCCAGGGCGGCGCTAGGGGGCGCTGGGGGGCAGGGAGCGGGGCGGGGGGCTCAGTAGGGGGCGCTCTCCCCTGGCAGGCAGGGCTGGCCCCATGGCGGCGCTAGGGGGCGCTGTGGGGCAGGGGGCGGGGCGGGGGACGCTCTCCCCCAGCAGGCGGGGCTGGCCCCAGGGCGGCGCTAGGGGGCGCTGGGGGGCAGGGAGCGGGGCGGGGGGCTCAGTAGGGGGCGCTCTCCCCTGGCAGGCAGGGCTGGCCCCAGGGCGGCGCTAGGGGGCGCGGTGGGGCAGGGGGCGGGGGAGATGGTTGTCGCTGCTCCACCCCAGAGGCGGCTGCATTTCCCCGCGCTCAGCCTGTCCCCTGCTCCGCTCCCCAGATCTGCCACCAGCTCTGGAGGCTGCTCACGGGGCTCGGAGGCTTTTTTGTGCCCAAGGGTAAGTTGGGGAGCAGGGGGGAGGGGCCGGTTCTGTGATGGGGGGCCCTCCCTGGGGGAGGGCTGGGGGGTGAGAGCCTGGGAGGTGGAAGGGGGGGACTAGACTGGAGGGGGGGCCCTGCTCGCCTCCTACGCCCCACAGGGAAGGGACTCGGGTGTGGGTCCAGCTCATCCCTGGCTTGGGGGCTTCCCCATTCAGCCCTTTCCTGCTTCCCCCATTCAGCCCTTTCTTTCTTTCTCCTTAATCCGTTTTCTTTCTTTCTTTCTCATTTAATCCATTTCTTTCTTTTTCTCACTCCTTTCTTTCTTTCTTCCTTTCTCATTAATCCTTTCTTTCTTTTCTCACTTCTTTCTTTCTTTCTTTCTTTTTCTCACTCCTTTCTTTCTTTCTTTTCTCATTCATTTCTTTCTTTCTCATTTAGTTAATTTCTTTCTTTCTTCCTTTCTCATTAACTCTTTCTTTCTTTCTTTCTTTTTATTAATCCATTCTTTCTTTCTATCTTTCTTTGTTTCTTTCTCACTCATTTCTTTCTTTCTTTCTTTCTTTTTATTAACCATTCTTTCTTTCTATCTTTCTTTGTTTTTTCTCACTCATTTCTTTCTTTCTTTCTTTCTAATCCATTCTTTCTTTCTATCTTTCTTTGTTTCTTTCTCACTCATTTCTTTCTTTCTTTCTTTCTTCTCATTAACTCTTTCTTTCTTTCTTTTTAATCCATTCTTTCTTTCTATCTTTCTTTTTCTTTCTCCTCATTTCTTTCTTCTTTCTTTCTCATTAACTCTTTCTTTCTTTCTCCATTCTTTCTTTCTATCTTTCTTTTTTCTTTCCCCATTTCTTTCTTTCTTTCTTTCCATTAACTCTTTCTTTCTTTCTTTCTTTCTAATCCATTCTTTCTTTCTATCTTTCTTTGTTTCTTTCTCACTCATTTCTTTCTTTCTTTCTTTCTCATTAACTCTTTCTTTCTTTCTTTTTAATCCATTCTTTCTTTCTATCTTTCTTTGTTTCTTTCTCACTCATTTCTTTCTTTCTTTCTTTCTTTCTCATTAACCCTTTCTTTCTTTCTTTTTAATCCATTCTTTCTTTCTATCTTTCTTTTTTCTTTCCACCTTTCTTTCTTTCTTTCTCATTTCTCTTTCTTTCTTTCTTTCTAATCCATTCTTTCTTTCTATCTTTCTTTGTTTCTTTCTCACTCATTTCTTTCTTTCTTTCTTTCTCATTAACTCTTTCTTTCTTTCTTTTTAATCCATTCTTTCTTTCTATCTTTCTTTGTTTCTTTCTCACTCATTTCTTTCTTTCTTTCTTTCTTTCTTTCTCATTACTTCTTTCTTTCTTTCTCGCCCTCACAGCACCTCCATCCCCGCCGCCCGACGCCACCATCCGGAAGCCCCGCTGCCCGACGCACGACCCGAGCCCCATCTCTCCCCGTCACCGGCGCTCCCCTCCCTGGGAGCTGCCCCTGCCTCGGCTCTGCCCCTGGGAACCCATGCGGCTCACCATGGACGTCAACCTGCACCGGGACCCGCCCCGGCACGACCGTGAGCCCCCGCGGGGCCTCCACGACGCACCTCGGCACCGCCCCAACGCCCTGGGGCCCTACCATAACTGCACCTGCCCCCGGGCCGCGTCGGCCTCCTCTGCCCTGCCCCGCTATGCCAGCCAGCCCAAACTGCGCCCGGCCACCGTCTCCCGCGGCACCGACGCCCGCCCGGTACCCGGGGTCCGGTTCCGCCCCACCAGCCGGGAGGAGCTGGTCTTGTCGGGGGCCGAATCCCAGCATCAGCGGCCCACCAAGGTCTACATCTACCCAGTCCACCCGGAGACGCCGCCTGGCAGCCGCGACCCATCGCCCGGGCGCCGGGAGCTGCGCTGGAAGGAGAGCGCGGGGAGGCCAGCAGGGGGCGCCAGGCAGAGCCGGGACCTGGCCACCGACACCACCGAGGAGGGGGCAGCGGAGAAGCAGGCGCTACCCAGTGGCCGCGCCCGGTATTTCAAAGTGCAGGAGCCCTCCATGCAGGACTGGGTCTACCGGCCCCTCAAGGAGCCCCACTGGAACTGGAACCAAGTGGGCTAAAGTGCGGGGCCTGCTCTCCCCCCTGCCCCAGCTTGGAAAATAAAGAGTAAAGCCACGTAGCACTGGTGGGTGCCTGGCCCCAGCCCCCTGCTCTAACCACTCGACCCCACTCCCCTCCCGGAGCCCGGGAGAGAACCCAGGAGTCCTGGCTCCCAGCTCCCCCTGCTCTAACCCACCAGACCCCACTCCCCTCCCAGAGCCAGGGAGAGAACCCAGGAGTCCTGGCTCCCAGGCCCCCCTGCTCTAACCCACCAGCCCCCACTCCCCTCCCGGAGCCCGGGAGAGAACCCAGGAGTCCTGGCTCCCAGCTCCCCCTGCTCTAACCCACCAGACCCCACTCGCCTCCCAGAGCCAGGGAGAGAACCCAGGAGTCTTGGCTCCCAGCTCCCCCTGCTCTAACCCACCAGACCCCACTCGCCTCCCAGAGCCAGGGAGAGAACCCAGGAGTCCTGGCTCCCAGCTCCCCCTGCTCTAACCCGCCAGACCCCACTCGCCTCCCAGAGCCAGGGAGAGAACCCAGGAGTCCTGGCTCCCAGCTCCCCCTGCTCTAACCCACCAGACCCCACTGCCCTCCCAGAGCCCGGGAGAGAACCCAGGAGTCCTGCCTGCAAATCTCATGCCACTGGGGTGAATTGGGCGCGGGGCGGGGGCTGTGACATCAGCGAGCAGGGTCTTCGGGGTGGGGGGGAGATACCAAAGAACTACCGCCCCCAGCATGCTTTGCGGGATGGCTTTTCTCCTGGAGAAACTACAGCTCCCAGGTTGCCTATGGCTCAGAATTGCCCCCGGTTTCGGTGTTTCATTTTAATGCCCATGGGGCCCTGCAAAATGTTCTCTTCCCCAAGGGGCCCTACAGTGATACAGATGGGGGCCCACGGCTGGCTGGGGGCTGGGAGGGAGAGCTACACTTCCCAGAGTGCATTGGGCAAGGGAGAGCGGCAGGACTACAATCCCCAGGAGGCACTGGGGCCATTGGCAGCACTACAATTCCCAGGGTGCATTGGGGGAGTGGCAGGACTACAATTCCCAGGGTGCATTGGGGGAGTGGCAGGACTACAATTCCCAGGGTGCATTGGGGGAGTGGCAGGACTACAATTCCCAGGGTGCATTGGGGGAGTGGCAGGACTACAATTCCCAGGGTGCATTGGGGGAGTGGCAGGACTTCAGTTCCCAGGGAGCATTGTGGGGTATTGGCAACACTACAATTCCCAGGATGCATTGCGGGGTATTGGCAGGACTACAATCCCCAGGGGGCAGTGGGGCTCGTCCTGCTAGGGGCGGGGGTGGCCGCTCCCAGGTGAGCTCCCTCTGCCAGGTGTGTGATTCCCCGCCCCCTGTGGGGCCTCTGTTCCCCACACCTGGCTGGGGGCGGGGCTTTACCTGGCTGGGGGCGGGGCTTAGCACACCTGGGAGCTGGCCTGGCCAAGGAAGGAGGCAGAAGGAGGAAGTGTCGCTCCCACCTGTTGGGGGGGCAAAGCTGGGTCCCCCGGGCTCCTCCCATAGGGGCTGGACCTGTGTGAGCCCCCGAAACCCTTCCCCCCCCCGCCCTCAGGTGGGACCCGGGCATCCAGCGTCGGCCACGCGCAGCTGGGAGGTAAAGACCCCAGCCCTACAGGTGCCCCCCAATCCTGACCCGCAGCCACCCCCAGCCCAGCCCTGCCGGTGCCCCTCATTCCCGACCCGCAGCCCCCCCCAGCCCAGCCCCGCCGGTGCCCCTCATTCCCGACCCGCAGCCCCCCCCAGCCCAGCCCCCGCCGGTGCCCTCCAATCCCGACCTGCAGCCCCCCCAGCCCAGCCCCGTCAGTGCCCCCCAATCCTGACCTGCAGCCCCCCCACAGCCCAGCCCTGCCGATGCCCCCCAATCCCGACCTGCAGCCCCCCCCAGCCCAGCCCTGCCGGTGCCCCCCACTCCTGACCCCCAGCCCCCCCCAGCCCAGCCCCGCCGGTGCCCTCCAATCCCGACCTGCAGCCCCCCCAGCCCAGCCCCGTCAGTGCCCCCCAATCCTGACCTGCAGCCCCCCCCACAGCCCAGCCCTGCCGATGCCCCCCAATCCCGACCTGCAGCCTCCCCCAGCCCAGCCCTGCCGGTGCCCCCCACTCCTGACCCCCAGCCCCCCCCAGCCCAGCCCCCGCCGGTGCCCTCCAATCCCGACCTGCAGCCCCCCCAGCCCAGCCCCATCAGTGCCCCCCAATCCTGACCTGCAGCCCCCCCCAGCCCAGCCCTGCCGATGCCCCCCAATCCTGACCTGCAGCCCCCCCCAGCCCAGCCCTGCCGGTGCCCCTCATTCCCGACCTGCAGCCCCCCCCAGCCCAGCCCTGCCGGTGCCCCCCACTCCTGACCCCCAGCCCCCCCACAGCCCAGCCCCGCTGGTGCCCCCCCACTCCCGACCCCCAGCCCCCCCCACAGCCCAGCCCCCGCCGGTGCCCCCCAATCCTGACCCGCAGCCCCCACAGCCCAGCCCTGCCAGTGCCCCTCACTCCCGACCCACAGCCCCCCCAGCCCAGCCCCGTCGGTGCACCCCAATCCCGACCCACAGCCCCCCCCAGCCCAGCCCCGTCGGTGCACCCCAATCCCGACCCACAGCCCCCCCACAGCCCAGCCCCGCTGGTGCCCCCCACTCCCGACCCCCAGCCCCCCCACAGCTGAGCCCCACCGGTGCCCCCCAATCCTGACCCGCAGCCCCTGCAGCCCAGCCCTGCCGGTGCCACTCACTCCCGACACACAGCCCCCCCCAGCCCAGCCCTGCCGGTGCTCCCCACTCCCGACCTTCATCCCCCTGCTGCCCCAGCCCTGTCCCCCGCATCTCTGCCAGTGCCCCTCACTCCCAGTGCATGGGGAGGGGGGTCTGGAGAAGGCTGGGAGGAGGGGAGATGTGGGGGTGGGCCCCGCTTATAGGGCCATGGGCGATGGGGAGGGGCTGACTGGGACAGCAGGTCGAGGAAGGGGGCTGTGGCAAGGGGGCAGCTACTGACAAGGGGAGTTCGTGGCGGGGGATGACCTTGCTAATGACCATGGGGGGCAGGTTATGGGCATAGAAGAGAGGGCAGATTACACCTGGGTGCGGATGGGGTCAGGATATGGGGTTGGGTGGGAGGGGCAGGTTATGGAGTAGGGGGGACTGGGGGCAGGATACAGGGGAAGGGGCAGGTTGTGGGGGAGCGGCTTTGGGGCACCTGGGTGCAGATGGAGCGTGGGGGGCTAGGTTGGAGGGGCAGGTTATGGGGTGAGGAGGGGCAGTTTGGGGAGGGGTCCAGTCTAGCAGTGCAATGGGAGAGAAAGGTGGGACCCCTCCCTGGCGCCCCTCCTTTTACCCCCTTCCCCTTATCCCCCTGCCCGTGCAGGGTCATGACCTCCCCAGAGTGGGGCTCTGTCCCCCGCCCGGCCCAGCCCCTCACGGACCTGGATTTCCACTCGGGGGCCCGGATCGCTGAACTCAACCAGCTGGTCCAGGAGCTCAGCAAGCGGACGGCACGGGACCCAGGCGTCCGGGCCACCCAGGAGCTGGTGGTGCTCAAGGACTTTGTGTTCTCCTTGCTGGGTGAGTGCTGGGAGCCCGGACGCCTGGGTTCTCTCCCCGGCTCTGGGCAGGGAGTGGGGGCTGGTGGGTTAGAACAAGGGTGGGCTGGGAGCCAGGACTCCTGGGTTCTCTCCCCGGCTCTGGGAGGGGAGTGGGGGCTGGTGGGTTAGAGTGGAAGTGGGGCTGGGAGCCAGGACTCCTGGGTTCTCTCCTGAACTCTGAGGCTATGGTGGTTGGATGCAGATGAGTCAACCCGGACTCCTGGGTTCCTTTTTTTCCTAGCCCCTCGTCCTTTCTCCCGCCAGGTCTGGTGCAGCAGCTGGACGGGAGGCTCCCGTTGGCCAACGAGTACCTCCTCCTCTCCGGCGGGGCCCGCCAGGGCACGGTGGACATGGACCCAGGCGTCCTGGGCCGCTCGGCCCCGGGGGCCGACTACGATGCCGACTACACCCTCCTGGTGCCCATCCTCCAGGCCCGCGGCTGCCCCGTCACTCTGGACATGTGCCGGTGCCCGCCGGGCCACGCCTGGCTGGCGCTAGGCCCCTTCGGGCCCGAGGCTTGCCACCGCTGGGCCGACTGCTGCCGTGACCATGGCGGCGAGGCCTACCTGGCCCCAGGCCTGGTCTCGGCCTGGTTCTCCCAGGCCTTGGGCGCCGTGGCCGACAGGGTCCGGGCTGCCCCGCGCCAAGGGGGGCCGGTGATGGAGCGGGTGGCCGGCCACGGGGGCCTCGTCACCCTGCTCCTGAGCCACGGCACGGTGCGGGCGCTGTACGACGTGGTGCCCGTGGTGGCCTTCCAGGGGTGGCCGGCGGTGGCCCAGGAGTGGCTGGGCCGCAGCCATTTCTGGGACGGCAAGCTGAGGGAGGAGGACGTGGCCGGGGGCTTCTACCTCCTGCCCGGCTCGGGCCCGGCTGGACGTGAGGCCTTGGGCTCGGTGGAGGCCTCGGGCCCGGCTTGGCGTGAGGCTTCGGGCCCAGTAGACGCCTCGGGCCCGGCTGGACGTGAGGCCTCGGGCCCGGCTGGACGTGAGGCCTCGGGCCCGGTGGAGGCCTCGGGCCCGGCTTGGCGTGAGGCCTCGGGCCCGGTGGGGAGCCTCGGGAGGCCTCGGGCCCGGTGGAGGCCTCGGGCCCGGCTGGACGTGAGGCCTCGGGCCCGGTGGAGGCCTCGGGCCCGGCTTGGCGTGAGGCCTCGGGCCCGGTGGAGGCCTCGGGCCCGGCTGGACGTGAGGCCTCGGGCCCGGTGGAGGCCTCGGGCCCGGCTGGACGTGAGGCCTCGGGCCCGGCTGGACGTGAGGCCTCGGGCCCGTGGAGTCGGCCCGGTGGAGGCCTCGGGCCCGGCTGGCGTGAGGCCTCGGCCCGGTGGAGGCCTCGGCCCGGCTGGACGTGAGGCCTCGGGCCCGGCTTGGCGTGAGGCCTCGGGCCCGGCTTGGCGTGAGGCCTCGGGCCCGGCGGAGGCCTCGGGCCCGGTGGAGGCCTCGGGCCCGGCTGGGCGTGAGGCCTCGGGCCCGGTGGAGGCCTCGGGCCCGGTGGAGGCCTCGGCCCGGCTTGGCTGAGGCCTCGGGCCCGCTCGTGAGGCCTCGGGCCCCTGGACGGAGCTCGCCCGCTGACGGGTCGCCCCTGGCGGGGTGGCCTGGACGTGAGGCCTCGGGCCCGGTGGAGGCCTCGGGCCCGGCTGGACGTGAGGCCTCGGGCCCGGTGGAGGAGGCCTCGGGCCCGGCTTGGCGGGAGGCCTCGGGCCCGGCTTGGCGGGAGGCCTCGGGCCTCGCTTGGCGTCTGTCCTTCTCCCGGAGCGAGCTCCATCTCAAGAAGGCCGTGCCGCCCCCGCTGCTCCAGGCCTACCGGGCCGCCCGGGCCGCCCTTGGCGGGGCCTGGGGCAGGCGGGTGGGGCCCTACCACCTCTGGACCCTGGTGCTCTGGGCCTGCGAGCGCCTGCCCGCCCGCTACCTGGGCCGGGAGGAGAATGCGGCCCACTGCCTGCTGGGCCTGCTGGACGACATGGCCGCCGGCCTCGGGGCCGGGGCCGGTCCCCACTACTTCCTGCCCGGCTACGACAGGCTGGCGGGGGTCCCGGAGCCGGGCCTGGCCCGCGCGGTGGCTGCCGTCAGGGGGGACCCGGCGGGGCACCTGCGGGAAGCGGTGGAGAGGGTCAAGATGGCCGCCAAGTTGGGCAGGGGGCTGGACGCGGGGGCCGAGGCTGAGGAGTAGGGGTGGGGTGTCATATCATCTCCCTCTGCTCTGGGGTCTAGGGGTTAGAGCAGGTGGGCTGGGCGCCAGGACTCCTGGGTTCTCTCCCCAGCGCTGGAAGGGGAGTGGGGTCTAGGGGTTAGAGCAGGTGGGCTGGGTGCCAGGACTCCTGGGTTCTCTCCCCGGCGCTGGGAGGGGACTGAGGTCTAGTGGTTACAGCAGTGGGGGACTGGGAGCCAGGACTCCTGGGTTCTCTCCCTGGCTCTGGGAGGGGAGCAGGGGAAGCGGGTCTGGGAGCCAGGACTCCTGGGTTCTCTGTATTCCCACTCTCTTCGGGGTTTGGAGGTTGCCTGACTCCTCCTGTCATGAAAATCCACTTTTCCCAGACAGCTCAGGGCTACTAAGACTTTATCGTGGGCTACTCATACATATATATATATGTATTTTGGTACCATTTAAATGTGCCAAAAAGAGTCCGGAATTGGGGGGAGGGGGGAACTGATCCAAGAGAACCCCAAAATGAAGGTATTGTCGGGGGCCTTTGGATCTATTTGATTGCAGGGGTGACAGCATTTTTGGGGTGAGTATCAGACCCGGGGGGGGGGGTCTTGTAACATGTGGGAGCTGTCCGATGGGGGAACCTCGATATTTTGCGGGAGCTGGCATGGGAAATTGGACGGGGACCCCAGAATTATAGGGGGTGGGATGCATTCAGTTCTTTTCAGTGGCCTGTGAGCCCCAAAATATCAGCTGGATATTTCCGCTGAGAGTTTGATCCCCTGTTTTGTGGGGGAGCGTTGGCGGCTGGAAAATTGGGGCGTTGGGTACCGATGGGCAGTGAACCCCAAATGAGGGGCTATTGAATCTTTCCACTGGGCCCCCAAAATCAGTACTGTGGGGGTGAACAGCTGGGCTGTGCCCCTGAAAAGTTTGGGGTTCTCTGGAGTTTAGCGGCGTAGGCTAGGCTGCGGCTCCCGGTCAAGTGCCCCCCCTCCTGTTAAATGTGGGGGCCCAGAGCAATTTGGTAGAAGGGGGCTTGCGGGAAGGCCAGTGATTTTCCGGGTAGTTCTTCGTCCCTCTGTCCTTTTGGGGGACAGCGGGGTGTGTGTTGTCCCTGATGGAAGGGATGGGCCGATGGGTGGCGGGCGTGAGGGGGTATCTCTGGGAATTGGGATGCCAGCGGCGTCTGCACATCTGGGCCCCCCAGGCCTGCGCGGGAACGAGATGTTTCCTTTTTTGTAGATAATAAAAAGTAAATTGGAAGGCACTGGGTGGGCCGGTGTATTACGCTGCCCCCCTGCCGGTGTGGGGGGCGGGGGAGCTGGGCTGGGCTAGCAGGGGCTGTGGGTCGGGAGTGAGGGGCACCGGCAGAGCCCTGAGTCTCCCACTATCCCATGAGCCCCAGGGCCCATAGCCTGGCAATCAGGGTGAAGCCAGTGGCGGGGTGCGGGGTGGATTACGACCCTGATCCGCTTATAGCTTCTGGCCTTGCCTCTCTCCGGCTTGGCCAATGAAGCGGCCGAATTTGCATATGCAGATCAGGATACCAATTAGCTCCGGTTTCAAGACGGAGCCAGAAAGGTCGGTTTCAAGGCTCCCCCTCCTCCCCCAACGGACGGGCCTGGCAGGGGGTGCTCTCCGCCTTTCCACACACACACACACACCCCCCAGGCCGGCAGGGGTGAGTCTGGCTGAGTCGTCATCCTCAATCGCACTTTTCACCCATAATCGCTAAAGCCCATCTGGATTTTCTCCGGAAAGTCGGGCCCTGATCCCCGGCGTCTGGGCAGAATCTCCATGGGGGCGACGCCGCCATTTGTCCTGAAATCCCTGGCCCGGCCCAGGCCCGGTTCTGCTTCGGTTCCTGTACTTGGCAAATATCGCTGTTAAACAGCTCCCCAGAGGTGGGCGCATCTCGGCGCCGGGCGAGGGGTCCCTTGGGTCACCAGCCACCCAGCTCCAGAGGTGGGCGCATCTTGGCGCCGGGCGAGGGGTCCCCGGGTCACCGGCCGCCCCACCCCAGAGCTGGCTGCATCTCAGCGCCGGAAGAGGGGTCCCCAGGTAACCAGCCGCCCCGCCCCAGAGCTGGCTCCATCTCAGCGCCGGGCGAGGGATCCCTGGGTCACCAGCCGCCCTGTCCCAGAGGTGGCCGCATCTCGGCACTGGGCAAGGGGTCCCCGGGTAACCAGCCGCCCCGCCCCAGAGGTGGCCGCATCTCAGCGTGTGTGTGTTGTCTGTGGTGACAAGGCAGGGTTGTGTGTGTCATTTCCCAGCACCAATCCAGCCCCAGACACCCCTAGTGGGACAGTTAACCCCGATCTACCCCCATGGCCGCCAGTTGGGCCAAGGGGAGGGACCACCTCTGGGGCGGGGCGGCCGGTGACCCAAGGACCCCTTGCCCAGTGCCGAGATGCGGCCACCTCTGGGGCGGGGCGGCCGGTGACCCAAGGACCCCTTGCCCAGTGCCGAGATGCGGCCACCTCTGGGGCGGGGCGGCCGGTGACCCAAGGACCCCTAGCCCAGTGCCGAGATGCGGCCACCTCTGGGGCTGGGCGGCTGGTGACCCAAGGACCCCTTGCCCAGTGCCGAGATGCGGCCACCTCTGGGGCGGGGCGGCCGGTGACCCAAGGACCCCTTGCCCAGTGCCGAGATGCGGCCACCTCTGGGGCGGGATGGCCGGTGACCCAAGGACCCCTTGTCCAGTGCCGAGATGCGGCCACCTCTGGGGCGGGGCGGCCGGTGACCCAAGGACCCCTTGCCCAGTGCCGAGATGCGGCCACCTCTGGGGGGGGGGCCCTGGCCAGCTGGCAATGGCAGGGAGCCCTGGGGGTGCAGAGTGAGCCTGATGAAAATTTGATGCAAGGGGTGCGCCCATCGATTGCCTCTGCCCCGGACGCCTGGGTTCTCTCCCCAGCTCTGGGAGGGGAGCGGGGACTGGTGGGGTAGAGGAGGTGGGGCTGGGAGCCAGGACTCCTGGGTTCTCTCCCGGGCTCTGGGAAGGGAGCAGGGGCTGGTGGTTTAGAGCAGGGGGGGCTGGGAGCCAGGACTCCTGGGTTCTTTGGCTGCTCTGTGACTCGGTTTCCCCCAGGGGCCTAGCAGCCCAGCTGCGACGTCTCGTTCCCCCTTTTCTCAGGCTGTGACACCCCGACTGACGCCCCCCTCCCGCACCGAGCTGGCGCTGCCCGCCCCCCCGCAACCCCCCCCCCCCCGCGCTGCGCTGCCCGTGCCGGCAGGTGGCTAAAAATACCGCTGCAAAATACAACCTTGAGCGCCCGTCCCCGCAAACCAGCGGAGCGATGCGCCCCCCCCTTCTGCGCCTCCCCCCCCCTCTGCCAGCCCGATCTCCCCCCTCCCCTCAGTTTCCCACCTCCCTCTATTCCTCTTCCCCTCCCCCCATGTGCGCCCCCCCCCCACAGCTCCTTCCTCCTCCCCCGTCTTTCCGTGATCCCCCCCCCGCCCCGCATCCCTCCTCGGGCCCTGGAGCCCTGCTCAACAAGATGCTAGATCCTGCCTCAGTGGAGGGGGCTGGGAGCCAGGACTCCTGGGTTCTCTCCCGGGCTCTGGGAGGGGAGCGGGGGCTGGTGGGTTAGAGCAGGGGGGGGGGGGAGCCAGGACTCCTGGGTTCTCTCCCCGGCTCTGGGAGGGGAGCGGGGGCTGGTGGGTTAGAGCAGGGCGGGGGGGAGCCAGGACTCCTGGGTTCTCTCCCCGGCTCTGGGAGGGGAGCGGGGGCTGGTGGGTTAGAGCAGGGGGGGCGGGGAGCCGGGACTCCTGGGTTCTCTCCTTGGCTCTGGGAGGGGAGCGGGGGCTGGTGGGTTAGAGCAGGGGGTCTGGGAGCCAGGACTCCTGGGTTCTCTCCTTGGCTCTGGGAGGGGAGCGGGGGCTGGTGGGTTAGAGCAGGGGGTCTGGGAGCCAGGACTCCTGGGTTCTCTCCTTGGCTCTGGGAGGGGAGCGGGGGCTGGTGGTTAGAGCAGGGGGTCTGGGAGCCAGGACTCCTGGGTTCTCTCCCTGCCTCTGAGGCCAACTCCTGCCACAAACGCGTGAGCCGGCCCCCCCCTCACCCCCCCCTTCCCGCCGCCTGGGGTTTTTTTTCCAGCCAGGCAGCAGACGAGCGAACCCGGCAAATGTCACCCTTCGCCGCCGGGGCTCGGGCGGGGGGGGGGGAGACCGGCCTGTGTCACCAGCCATGCCCCCCCCACCCCCCGGCCGCTGGAGCGAGGAGATTTAATGAGCGGGGGAGGGAAGAGTGGGAGAGGCGAGCGGGGTGGGTTGGGGAGGTGGGGGGGGGCTGAATAATTTCCCCCCCCCATCTCGAGGCACCACCCAGTGATTGGATAAAACTTTCCCCGGGGGGGGGTCTGTCAGAGGCTCCCTGCTTCAGCCCCCCACCTGCTCCCGTCACCTTTGGGGTACTTTCTGAGATGGGCTCCCTGGCCCTGCTCTAAGCCCCAGGGTCCCCTTTGAGCGAGCGACCCCCCCCCCCATCACAGCCCACATCTGGGCTGGGGGGGGCTGCGGGTCGCGAGTGAGGGGCACCGGCAGGCCTGGGGGGCAGGGCTGGGCTAGCAGCGGGCTGTGAGTTGGGAGTGAGGGGCACCGGCAGGGCTGGGGGGTGGCAGGGTTGGGTTAGCACCTCAGCCCCCCTCAGTCCTGCCTCCTTCAGGGCAGGACAAACACCCCCAAATATGAGCAGGTGGGAAAGGTTTGGGGGTAACTGGCTTCCGATCCTACAGTTGTGGGGGGAGCTCAGGGATTCCCCCAGCCCCGAAATTCCTCTGCTAGGCTGTTTGGGTGCATTGGCTATTTTTTGTGGGGTGAACGCAGACTCCCCAAAACCTGGAGCTCCCCCTTCCTGCTTCCTAGAGCAGCGGGAACCCCAATCATTCTACTGCCATTTCCTGCTGAACTGGGGGGGCAGGGAGCCATGGCTGTTTGGGGGGTCCAGCATCACCCCGCTTCAGACACCCCTTTCCCTTCTCATCTCTGGGGGGAGGCCACAGGGAGTCCCCTGGCCTCAGCCAGCCTGGGGGGTCGAGCAGCCCCCCTCTTCTAGACTGGAACTGAGCTAGCTTTGACGGGGAGAAACGGGGGGTGCCCCAATCCTGAGCTAGACTAGGGGAGGGGATCCCCCAATACTAGGGTGGTGGGAAGGGGGTCCCCCAATACTGAGCTAGACTAGGGGAGGGATCCCCCAATACTAGGGTGGTGGGAAGCGGGTCCCCCAATACTGAGCTAGCTTTGAGGGGGAAGCTCAGGGGGTCCCCAGGACTCAGCTAGACTAGGGGATGGGGTCCCCCAATGCTAAACTCGTCTGGGGGGGCCCTGGAATTGAGCCATTCCTTGGGGCAGGCAAGGCATGGGGAATTCCCCTCCTGCTCCCACCAGCTGTAGGTTCCCCAAGTGTGTTTGGGGGGACCCACAGGTTCCCGTGTGACATTGTGTGTGTATGTGTGTGTGTGTTTTCTTTCTCCATCCCTTTCTCTCTCTCTCCATCCCCGCCCTTCTCCCATCCCTCCATCCCTCCCCTCCGCTTCGCCGCTTCTCCACACACACAGCCATCCACGAATTAACCTCGCCGGCTGAAGGACAACCGGGATTGTGTAGCGCGCTGTGTGTGTGTGTCTGTGTGTCTGTGTCTGGGGGGGGGGACACCCCCCAGCCCCCTTTCTCCGCAGCCCAGCGGAGGGAAGAATAAAAGAAGTTCGATCTCCAGGAATCTCGCCCCGTCTTTCTCTCCACCAGCTCATTAATTTCTGGTGCCGACCCAGCTCCGGGACGGTGCGTGATTTTCGGAGCCCGCGTCCGCGCTGATTTCTCCGGGCTGCCGCGCTCCTGGAAATTTCTGTGCGGGGGGCAGCAGGTTTGGACGGCGGGAGACGGGGGGGGGGGCCCAAATCCGGACCGCCGGTCGCTTTGGAAGGGAATCGATTTTGCCGAGGCCGAGCGGGGTTCTGTTCTCTCGTCCCCGGACCTTGACTGTACCTTGAGCAAGAAATTTGCACCGGGACCAAAAAAGAAGTGACTACCCCTGGTTGGGGCAGGGAGACGGGGAGACGCTTGGATTTATTACCCGCTCCGTGTCCCCCGTCTTCCCGCACGCCCTCGGCCGATCTGCTGGAAAGGGGAGAAAGAAACCAGCGACCCCCCGGGGCTAAATTCACCCCTCGCCGGATTAACCTCGGTGGGGAGAGGGGGGGTGGGTATAATCCCCCCCCTCAGATGGCTTGGCTCTTCTGGGGGATGAGCACGGCGTGAAACCTGCGAGCGGGACACCGACTGGCGGGGGACCATGGCGGCCCTGGCCAGCTCCTTGATCCGGCAGAAACGGGAGATCCGGGAACCCGTCGCCAGCCGGCCCGTGGCCACCCAGAGGAAGGTCTGTCCCCGCGGCACCAAGTCCCTCTGCCAGAAGCAGCTGCTCATTTTAATCTCCAAAGTCCGGCTCTGCGGCGGGCGGAAAGGCCGGCTGGAAAAAACACCCGGTGAGTGATATCTGGGAGGGGGGGGTGGGCGCCCGAGGAGCTGGGGAGGGGAGCGTGGGCCCTATAGTGCTGTAACGGCCTGGTTACAGGTGAGGTACAATGCTTGGGCTATTTCCTGCTCGTGCCCAGGCTGCAATGCCTGGTGCTAACAGCAGGAGGCGCTGTGAGAGGTCGATTGTGCAATATATGGCCTATATTGTCCAGCTTTCCTTGCAGTTCCGGGTGCCAACAGCAGGGGGCGGTGTAACAGGTCTGATCATGCACTATAATGCATATATTGCCCATCTTTCCTTGCAATGCCTGGTTCTAACAGCAGGGGTCACTGTGACCGGTCCGTCATGCAATATGCTTCATATATTGACCGTCTTTCCTTGCAGTGGCACCATGAACCAATATTATTTATGAACCGCCACTCAGGGGAGGTGATAAGGGGGGTGTTTTGCCCAGGTTAGATGTTTATATGGACTGGTCAATATTGGGTAATAATGCCTGCCCACCCCACCCCCCAATGAGCACAAAGAGTGTTCTCTTCCTCAGATAAATAAACCCCACTGATCCTTGGGTTGAAAACCACAGTAGGGTCAATATGGACTGGTCCATATAGGACTTTATTGCGCCCCATTGGATGAAACATGTATTGATGTTATGCCATTCCCTCAGAGATGTACATGCTGTGTGGTGTTGTTGGTTTTCAGTCACACTGATGTTTTATATGGACTGGTCTATGTGGGGCTAGAGCGGGCCCCGTTCCTCTCTCTGCTCCTGCAAGAGCAGGGTCAATGGAGCTCAGGACTCCCCAGCTCTGGGAAGGGATTGGGATCTGATGGGAGCAGGGGCTGGGAGGCAGGACGCCTGGGTTCTCTCCCTGGCTCTGGGAGGGGAGTGGAGGCTAATGGTTAGAGCAGGGGGGGCTGGGAGGCAGAACTCCTGGCTTCTCTCCCTAATCCCCTGTTGGTTGAAACCGCCACTGATGAAATCGATGAAATCAATCAATTTCGGCCGTAATTTGGGTTTCAAACCTGGCGGCGTTTATATGGACCAGTCTGTATCGAGCTTTAGCCCCCCCGCCCCCCCCGCTGCCCACAATGCACCATTTCCCCTTGGCTAGACCAGTCCTGGGGATTCTCCGGGCAGGGGGGTCCATGAGGGGCGGGAGCTGCCGTGATATCGGGGAACCAGCCCAAGCCCCATCGTGGCTGACCAGGATGGGGAGGGGAGAGGGGTCCCGAACCCAAGGGATTGGACCCAGGAGTCCGGGTGGCGGGGACCCAGGGGGCAGAAGTGTAATAAAACCCTCCCGCTCGCTCGCTCTTCCCCTGCCCTTCGGCCTTTCCCTCCATTGCCTCATTCTTCCTTTCTTTCCCTTTCTTCACGTCTTCTTCCGTTCCCTCTTTCCCCAGCCCCTTTCCGGGCATCCCCGCCCTCCACCTGGGTCAAAGTCGACCTCATTTCGCTTTCAGGGCCCGAGGGGAGACTCCCCCCCCAAATATCTTGGGAGGTTCACGCTTTCCTGTCGGGGGGGGCACCGTCTCCCCCTGAACCCCGAGTCCCCATTCTCTGGCCCCCCGAGCCAGCTAGTCGCTGCCCTGGGGCCAGATGGGAGCCGGCGCCCCCTAGAGGGCAAAGGGCGCAGGGAAGGGTCTATATTGGGACCGTGAGGCCCGGCTTCAATTCCAGAGCCGCCTCCTCCCCGCCCGCCCCCACCCCATCCTCCTGCTGCATCCGCAGCATTTCTTACCCCCCCCCGCCCCTCTGCTTTCACCCCCTCCCCCCCCCACTCCCCGCGGTTACTATGAGGCCCTGCTGGGCCCGGTGCCACCTTGGCCTTGGGCCAGCACCTCGTTCTCCTCCCGCGTCCTTGCTGCTGGCAACGGAGGCGTTTGTGGCCACTAGCCAAGCACCACGTGGTCCGCAGTGACCCAGGAGTCCGGGAGCTGCCCCACCCCCACCCCAGCCCTGCCGGTGCCCCCCACTCCCGACCCCCAGCCCCCTGCCAGCCCAACCTGGGGGGTCCCACACCCCTCCTGTGATTTCTATCCCTCGCTGAATCCCATTTGCGGAGCTGGGCGGTGGGAGCCCCAGTGATTTTTCTCCCCCTTTCCCAGGCACTAACCCTTTGCACTGCCAGGCAGCGTGGGCACATTAAAATAAATTAAAGTCATTTACATAAATTTGCATTCATTAAGGGGCGCAGGGCATTGTGGGAGCGCAGCTGGATGGGGGAGCAAAGTTGCTCAAGGGGGTTAGGAGCCCGCTGCTATGAAATGAGAGGATGGATCATTATCCAGGGAAATTCACTGCCGGTGCCCCTCACTCCCAACCCGCAGCCCCCTGCTAGCCCAGCCCTGCCCCCCCAGCCTTGTCAGTGCCCCTCACTCCTGGCCCGCAGCCCCACAGCTCCTGGGGGCAGAGGCCGGGGCACTGGGGCGAGGCTGGGAGGGCGAGGGGGGGCCTGGAGCAGGGCCAGGCCCTGGGGCGGCCAAGGTGACGTGAGCACTTAGTGGAATTACAGCGTGGCCGGGTGCAATCGGGCATTGCGGGGGCGGGGGGGGGAAGAGAAAGGAAGGGGGGGAATACACACACACACACGTGTGTGCACAGAGCATGTGGACGGGCGGGCCCACACAGCAAGCACATGCGGACAGGCGTGCACACACGGAGAACACACATGGACAAGCATGCCACACACACAACCGGCTGCGTTGCAGGATGGGCCAGAGCGCTTCCATTTAGGCCAGGTGCTGGGTTATGAATTATATAAACCCAGCCCATTAAGACGTCCCTTTGCGTTTGACTCACTCCAGCGGCCCGTGGGGGCTCGGGGCCAGGACACCTGGGTTCTGTCCCCAACTCTGGGAGGGGAATGGGGGCTGGTGGGTTACAGCAGGGGGGTGCTGGGAGCCAGGACTCCTGGGTTCTCTCCCCAGGCATGAGACAAGCCAGGCCCAACGCTCCATGTTCCTGTTTCCCAGCTGGCGAAAGGCCAGTGGGAGGGTCTCATGCACGCCCCCCTGTGGGGCAGGAGTCTGTGGTGGGAGCCCAGATGGGGGCAGGGGATTCGGTGGGCCGGTTTCCACCATCATCCTGGCATAACCTGCCCCGGAGGGGAGGGGCTGTGCCGGTGAAACCCAAATCAGTCCTCCCAGGTCTCCTGGTGATTCCCCGCCCCACGTCCCCGCCTTGCACGGGGGTGTCTTCTCGTGAGCCTCCTGCCAGCTCCCCCATTGGGCGGGGCTTCCCGCACCAGTCCCTCGCTCAGGGACCCCCCACACACACACGCAGCGCCATCGACCCTTTGCTCGCTGCCAGGAGGCAAATCATTTGTGCTGCATCCACCGTGTAATGTGTTGCCATAAATCAACCCGGCAGGGGCACCAGGGGGTCAGCTGGGAAGAGACGGGAAGGGGGCTGGGGGAGAGAAGCTGAGGCGGGTGTGGGCTGTGTCTGAACTAAACGCAACCCGGTAACGCGCCCTGGGGTATCGACACCCGGGCGCTGGAGCGCACCACGCAGCCCGCAGATGCACACACACGCAGGCTGCATGTTCCTCGTACGTGCCAAAGACACCCCTCCCCTGCTGTGTGTACACACACACACACACACGCTCAGAGTCACACCGGCCCGCGGCCCCATACACCCCCCCCAGGCGGCCGTCCGCGGGCCTCACGGGTACACACACGCCCGTCCGCGCTCGCCAAACCACGCAACCCCACCCACTGCACGCCTCGACCCCGCACAGACGCACACAGAACGACCAACAGCCAGACGCACAGCTACACACAAAGCCTCTGCGACATACACGCAACACAAGTCTGACCCAGCGAGGGGGGGGGAGCCAGGACTCCTGGGTTCTCTCTCTGACTCTGGGAGGGGACTGGGGTCTAGTGGGTCAGGGCAGGGGCTGGGAGCCAGGACTCCTGGGTTCTCTCCCCAGCTCGGGGAGGGGAGTGGGGGCTGGTGGGTCAGAGCAGGGGGGGCTGGGAGCCAGGACTCCTGGGTTCTCTCTCTGACTCTGGGAGGGGACTGGGGTCTAGTGGGTCAGGGCAGGGGGCTGGGAGCCAGGACTCCTGGGTTCTCTCCCGGGCTCTGGCCCTTGCGAGGTGAGGGTCAGTGGAGGCCTGCGGGATTCTGGGCTAAGAGGGGCAGGAGAGAGGCAACAAACTATGATGCATTTTTCATTTTTCTGCCAGCCGCTGCCTGTCTGGGTCCCACGGGGGGCCCTGTCAGAGCTAATTTCACTTCAAAGAAACACAAACAATCCACCTCCCAGCGCACGCGGCCTCTGCCAGGGACTGGGGGCGGTGGTGGAGTGGGGCCTAGTGGTGAGAGCAGGGCAAGCTGCCAGTCAGGACTCCTGGGTTCCCTCCCTGGCTCTGGGAGGGGAGTGGGGGCTGGTGGGTTAGAGCAGGGGGGGCTGGGAGCCAGGACTCCTGGGTTCTCGCCCTGGCTCTGTCCCAAACCCTCTGTGTGACCCTGAGCAAGTCACATCAGGTCCCCATGCCTCAGCTTCCCCCTCCTGATGTGCGTTCAGAGAACGGCCTCCCCCCAAAAGCAGCATCTGACAGCCAAAATTCCTACAGAGTATGAAGAAAAATTATTGTATTTCACTGTTGGTCTATCGCCTCCCACCCCCGTATCTAGGCGCTTGTTTCATTTCTACTATCCCCAGATACCCCCTCTATCTATCTATCTGTCTATCTATCTATCTATCCCCATCCACCCGCTCTCTCTGTCTCTCTGTCTCCCTATCTATCCCCATCCACCCCCTCTGTCTGTCTGTCTATCTATCCATCCCCATCCACCCCCTCTGTCTGTCTGTCTATCTATCTATCTATCCCCGTCCACCCCCTCTGTCTGTCTGTCTGTCTATCTATCTATCCCCGTCCACCCCCTCTGTCTGTCTGTCTATCTATCTATCTATCTATCCATCCCCATCCACCCCCTCTGTCTGTCTGTCTATCTAACTATCTATCCCCGTCCACCCCCTCTGTCTGTCTGTCTATCTATCTATCTATCCCTGTCCACCCCCTCTGTCTGTCTGTCTGTCTATCTATCTATCTATCCCCGTCCACCCCCTCTGTCTGTCTGTCTGTCTATCTATCTATCTATCCATCCCCATCCACCCCCTCTGTCTGTCTGTCTGTCTATCTATCTATCTATCTATCTATCCCCATCCACCCCACCTATCTATCTATCTATCTACCCCCATACACCCCACCTATCTATCTATCTACCTATCCCCATCCACCCCCTCTATCTATCTATCTATCTAACTATCCCCATCCACCCCCTCTATCTATCTATCTATCTACCTATCCCCATCCACCCCCTCTATCTATCTATCTATCTACCTATCCCCATCCACCCCCTCTGTCTATCTATCTATCTATCTATCTATCCCCATCCACCCCCTCTATCTATCTATCTATCTAACTATCCCCATCCACCCCCTCTATCTATCTATCTATCTACCTATCCCCATCCACCCCCTCGATCTATCTATCTATCTACCTATCCCCATCCACCCCCTCTATCTATCTATCTAACTATCCCCATCCACCCCCTCTATCTATCTATCTATCTACCTATCCCCATCCACCCCCTCTATCTATCTATCTATCTAACTATCCCCATCCACCCCCTCTATCTATCTATCTATCTACCTATCCCCATCCACCCCCTCTATCTATCTATCTATCTAACTATCCCCATCCACCCCCTCTATCTATCTATCTATCTATCTATCTAACTATCCCCATCCACCCCCTCTATCTATCTATCTATCTATCTATCCCCGTCCACCCCCTCTGTCTATCTATCTATCTATCTATCCCCATCCACCCCCTCTATCTATCTATCTATCTACCTATCCCCATCCACCCCCTCTATCTATCTATCTAACTATCCCCATCCACCCCCTCTATCTATCTATCTATCTATCTATCCCCATACACCCCCTCTATCTATCTATCTATCTACCTATCCCCATCCACCCCCTCTATCTATCTATCTATCTATCTATCCCCATCCACCCCCTCTATCTATCTATCTATCTACCTATCCCCATCCACCCCCTCTATCTATCTATCTATCTAACTATCCCCATCCACCCCCTCTATCTATCTATCTATCTAACTATCCCCATCCACCCCCTCTATCTGTCTATCTATCTATCTATCTATCTATCCCCAGACACCTCCTCTTTTTGACCGGGGAATTTGCTCAGCTTTTCAGATAAGAGTTTATATTTCCTGTCTGATAGCTACAGAGACTTTCTCTAACAAACTTTTTCATCTGGAATATCTTTAGTTTCTCACATTTAACAGATGTAAAGCTCAGGATATCCCCATTTTTTCGTCAGGAAGTTTTTTGTTTGGTTTTTTTCATATGCAAACGATGTAAAATGGCTGATAATTTCCCGGCCTTCACAAAGGTTTTGGTTTGGTTTTGCCTGGGCATTTCCTCAGTTTTTGTGTGACACTCCTTGTTTTGATGTAGTGATTTATTGTGACCGATATTTTGTCAACATTCACAAAGTTTTTGGTTCGGAATTGCCTTAGTTTTTCGTATAGAAGTTTATATTTATTGATAGTGGTACTTCCTCAGCCTTAACAAAGTGTGTTGTTGAATTTCCTTTCTTTTTCTTCTGAGCATCTGTATTTATTGATTTTAAATTACTGCTATTTTCCAACAACGTGGTTTTCTCTGGGGATTTTCTTTGCTTTTCCTGTGAAATTTTATAGTCACTGATATTTAGGCAACATTCACAGGGGTTTATGATTTGGCACCAGCGTGTCTGAGAAAAGATTGTATTTATTGATTAAAAACTACAGACACTTTCGGACTCTTAGCAAAGCTTTAGTTTGAATATTGTCTTAGATTTTCTTATGAAACTCTCTTTATAGATACTTTCTCCGTCTTACCAAAGAGTTCTTTCTTATAATTGCTTTAGTTTTTTCATGCAAAAGACTGTATTTATTGATTTGAAACTACGGATACTTTCTCCATCCTCGCAAAGTTTTTGTTTGGGAATTTCCTTGGATTTTTTTATAACAATCTCTTTATTGCTTTGAAATTACTGATACTTTCGCAGTCTTGCCGAAGATTTGTTTGGGAGTTGCTTTCGGTTTTTTTATACAAAATTCGGTATGTCCAGAGTTAAAAGTTCCTGGTGCTTTTGTTTAGCCTTAAGGAAGGTAATCAGGGAGGGCTTCCTCCTAGCCAGTGGATAATCTATTCTCTGTCCTCCCTTCGGTCCCCCGCCTCCGCATCCCTCCATCCATCCTGCGGGCGGCACAGAGCCGCAGCTGAAGGGCATCGTGACCAAGCTTCTCTGCAGACATGGTTTCTACCTCCGGATGCACCCAGACGGCGCCATCGACGGGACAAAGGAAGACACCAACAGCTTCAGTGAGTGATGCCCAGGCAAGGCCGAGGGGTTATGTAGGGCTAGGCCAGTTGGGGGACCTCCCAAGTGGCAGGGAATGGAGTGGGGTGCTTGGGGGGGAGCTGTACTGCAGGGAGCACTGTACTGCGGAGGGCAGAGGGGGATCCCTATTTCCCAGCCCTCCCACACCACCTTTCCCCTCTAGGGAGCACCGGGATGGGGACTGGCTGGCTCAGGGAGGCCGGGAATGGGGCAGGGGCCTGACCCCTCTAGGGGGCGCCAGGTCCCATCCGGCCCCAGGGTGGGGACTGGCTGGCTCAGGGGGGCAGGGAATGGGACATGGGGCCTGTCCCCTCTAGGGGGCGCCAGGTCCCATCTGGCCCCAGGGTGGGGACTGGCTGGCTCAGGGGGTCGGGGAATGGGGCCCGGGGCCTGTCCCCGCTAGAGGGCAGCACATTGTGTGCATAGGGGAGATGGGTAAATCCTGCCTTGACCTAATCCCACCCACCCCCCTCCGGCTCCAGCTGTCTCCAATCAGGGAGAGTCCTGAATATTCATCTGGGATTGCAAAGAAGGGGATTAACGTCGAGAAGGGATGACAGGGGAGGAAAAATAAATCCGTCTCTAAAGAGGAATGAGGGAGGGGGAGGAGTCGTGGGGAAGAACCCAGGAGTCCAGGCTCCAGGCAGAGCTTCTGCAAAATCGGGCAGTGGGGATCGGAGTCGGCGTCCCCTAGAGGGGATGGGCCCCTGCCCCATTCCCCGCCCCCTGTGAGCCAGCCAGTCCCCGCCCTGGGGCCAGATGGGAGCTGGTGCCCCCGAGAGGGGACAGGCCCCGTGTCCCATTCCCACCTGCTGTTTGTGCCAGGGCTGATGCCTTGCTATCTGTCTCGTCTCCCCCAGCTCTCTTTAACCTGATCCCCGTGGGACTGCGCGTGGTCGCCATCCAGGGCACCAAGTCGGGGCAGTATATCGCCATGAACGCAGAGGGCTACCTCTATACCTCCGTGAGTGTCATTCCCCCCGGCCCTCCCTCTTGACTAAACCGACCGTTGGTGTGAGCGGTGGGATCTCAGGGTTGTGTATGTGCCCTGGGTCCCAGAGGGGTGGAGTTGCCAACAGGGGGCATGATCATCTCTCTTCCAGCAGGGGGTGCTGCTTTCAGGGTGGGGCTAGTGGTGGGTCGTGACAGTGCATCCCCAGGGAGGCAGCTCGGAGATCCATTGGTGTGAGCAGTGGGATCTCTGGGTGAGCCCTGGAGGAGCGGGCTGGTCAGGGCTAATAGGGGTGTAGTATCCTCTCTCTGCCAGTAGGGGGGCCACCCCTGCCCCCCCCAGTCTGAACCCCTGTCTCCCAAACAGAGAGTCCCACTGTGCTGGGGGCAGGTGGGGGGACGCAGAACCTGGCATGCCAGCTATCCCCGCCCCCGCGGAACAGCCCCCCACTTTGCCCCACGTGGGGTGCTCTGGGATAGCAATGCCCCCTCCTAACTCTGCCCCACACAATCCTCTTCTTCAGGCCCCATGGTACCTGGGCCCTTCCTCCCCTTGAAGTATCCTTCCCCCCCCCCCCATGCTGTGTTAAATTTAGCAGCTGGTCTGATTTTTAGGGAACCCCTGGGAAGAGACCAAGAAAATCCCCACCTGCGACCGGGAAGAGAGAGGGCTTACGCCACCAGCCTCCCCCCTACGCTGTTCTGTCTGTCCATCCCCCGGAGCATGTCTGTCTGGCCGTGTCTTTCTGACACGCTTTCCCTGTCGCTCTCCATCGCGTTTCTCCCACCACGCCCCTGCCTCTCCCCAGCCACGACACGCTGTGGAGGGCGGCAAAAGCTGGGGAGGGGGCCAGGGCCCGCGCTGAGCTTTCGTTGTGGGCAGGGAATAACGTGAGGTGAGGGAAAGCGATGGTGACCGGGGCGCCATGACGCCAACAGGGAAAGTAACGGTGGACGCGGCGCTGATCATGAAAATAATGGTGAACGTGGTGCTGATCGTGAAAATAATGGTGAATGCGGTGCTGATCGTGAAAATAATGGTGAATGCGGTGCTGATCGTGAAAATAGCGGTGAACGCGGTGCTGATCGTGAAAATAACGGTGAACGTGGTGCTGACAGGGAAAATGATGGTGAACGCGGTGCTGATTGTGAAAATAACGGTGAACGTGGTGCTGACAGGGAAAATAATGGTGAACACGGTGCTGATAGTGAAAATAACAGTGAACGTGGTGCTGACAGGGAAAATAATGGTGAAAGTGGTGCTGATAGTGAAAATAATGGTGAACGCGGTGCTGATAGTGAAAATAATGGTGAACGCGGTGCTGATAGTGAAAATAATGGTGAACGCGGTGCTGATCGTGAAAATGACGGTGAACGTGGTGCTGACAGGGAAAATAATGGTGAACGCAGTGCTGATAGTGAAAATAACAGTGAACGTGGTGCTGACAGGGAAAATAATGGTGAACGCGGTGCTGATCGTGAAAATAACGGTGAACGTGGCCGTGGTAGTGAACATAATGGTGAACGTGGCACCGTGACACTGACAGGGAAAATAACGTCCATCCCCAAAACACCGCTTCTATCCAGCCAGCCAGTCCCATACACCCCATCTACCTAATTATCCGTCCGGGCCCATACATGCCCTCCCCGTCCATTCATCTGTTCTTTCTCTCTCCCCATACACCCCTCTTTCTTTCTTTCTTTCTTTCTCTGAAATCGCTCCCCCTTCCTCCTGCGTCTCTCTCACGCACAGACAGACTGTGTAATTCACAACCCCTCAAATCCGGCCACCCTCAGTGGCTCCCGACCGGCTGCCCCCCAGGTTGGGGGCAGCCAGCTCGAGCCCTCTCTCCAGCCCGTGGAATATTCATGTCACTGCCCCCGACCTGCCCCCCCCCCACACACACACGGCAGCCCCCCACTGCAGCCCGGGCACCCCAACTCAGCCAAGACACTTGGACCCTGGCCCCAGGCCTAATGCCCCTAGCTGGGGTCAGAGTAGCCCAGAGCTTGCTTTTGAGGGCAGCAGGGGGCGCTCTCCTCTGGAAGTCAGTGCTGGGCCCAATGCCCCAGGGCGGCACTGTGGGGCAGGGAGTGGGGCGGGGGGCTCAGCAGGGGGTGCTCTCCCCTGGCAGGACAGGGCTGGCCCCAGGGCAGCTGTGGGTCAGGGAGCAGGGCGGGGGGCTCAGCAGGGGGCCCACTCCCCTGGCAGGTAGGGCTGGCCCCATGGGGCACTAAGGGGTGCTGTGGGGCAGGGAGCCAGGCGGGGGGGCTCAGCAGGGGGCGCACTCCACTGGCAGGCGGGGCTGGCCCCTTGGGGCACTAGGGGGCGCTGTGCTGGAGGGAACGGGGTGGGGGACTCCGCAGGGGGCGCTCTCCCTTGGCAGACAGGGTGGCGCTCGGAGGCGCTGTGGGGCAGAGAGCGGGGAGGGGGCTCAGCAGGAGTCCCTGGTGACTCAGCCCCCGTCTCAAGTTGCCACCCAGGCCGGTCTTGACTATTAAAACGCCCCTGGCTCCTTTCCCGGGATTCGGGACTGGGAACCCAGGCGTCCGAGCCCTGTCGCCTCCCGGCTGAAAGACCAGAGCGGGCACTGCCCTCTACTGCCCACAGTTGGTAATTACACCCCACAGAGACCTTCCTTCCTTCCTTTCTCGCTCACCCCTTTTCTCTCCCTCCCTTCCTCTCCCAGGCTCACTTCACCGCCGAGTGCCGGTTTAAGGAGTGTGTCTTCGAGAACTACTACGTCATGTATTCCTCCACCCTGTACCGCCAGCGCGAATCCGGCCGCTCCTGGTATCTGGGCATCAACAAAGAAGGCCAGCCCATGAAGGGAAACCGAGTCAAGAAGACCAAAGCCGCTGCCCACTTCCTGCCCAAGCTATTGGAAGGTGAGCAGGGCAGCAGGGACGATGGGGTGGTGTCTAGAGGAAGCAATTGGGGATGTAAAATACAGACACCCCCCGCCACCCCGGTGCCCCTCCAACCAGGCACATGGATCCTCCTTCCCACCTCTGGCCCGGGCACGCTGCCCCGGATACACAACCCCTCCCTTCCCAACTGTTCTGTGCTGTGCAAACTTCTGCCACCCCCATGTGACCCGTCTTTCTGGGGTGGTAGGGTGGCTGGGGCAGCCAATCCCGTGCTATCCCTCACTTCCTCCTCCTCTGTGTGTCTCTCTCTCCTTCCTCACAGTGGCCATGTACCGTGAACCGTCGCTCCATAACGTGGTGGACCCCTCGGCACCCCAGAAATCAGACGAGGCCGGGGCCCCCAGCAAAGAGACAGCCAAGCCCTGCAAGGCGACGTAACCCCAAGGTCGGGGAGGGGTTTCGGCACCGCTCCAGCCACGCCCCTCCCTTGCATGTCTGCCCCCTTCTGCTCAGGACGCCTGCCTACCTACATTCAACCTCTGGACCTCAGAAGAAGAAAAAATGCCATCGAGGGTGTGATACCCTTTGCCATCACCGGGGGACGACGTTGCCCTGCTGGAGAAATATTTAGGGGTTTGCGTGTGTGTGTATATATATATATATATGGTCTTCCATGCCAGCTGAGAGCATGATTCCCTGTTTGGCCGACAGGTGGTGACATTGGGAAAGGTTCTGATCTATGCCACCTTCCTTTGGAGCAATAAGGGCGCGATGCCTTTTTCGACCAGCAAAGGGCGACGTTGGGAAAGCGTCGGATTGCCGCAATAAGGGCGCGATGCCTTTTTCCGCCAGCGGAGGGCGACGTTGGGAAAGCGTCGGATTGCCGCAATAAGGGCGCGATGCCTTTTCCGCCAGCGGAGGGCGACGTTGGGAAAGCGTCGGATTGCCGCAATAAGGGCGCGATGCCTTTTTCCGCCAGCGGAGGGCGACGTTGGGAAAGCGTCGGATTGCCGCAATAAGGGCGCGATGCCTTTTCCCGCCAGCCGAGGGCGACGTTGGGAAAGCGTCGGATTGCCGCAATAAGGGCGCGATGCCTTTTCCGCCAGCCGAGGGCGACGTTGGGAAAGCGTCGGATTGCCGCAATAAGGGCGCGATGCCTTTTTCCGCCAGCCGAGGGCGACGTTGGGAAAGCGTCGGATTGCCGCAATAAGGGCGCGATGCCTTTTCCGCCAGCCGAGGGCGACGTTGGGAAAGCGTCGGATTGCCGCAATAAGGGCGCGATGCCTTTTTCCGCCAGCGGAGGGCGACGTTGGGAAAGCGTCGGATTGCCGCAATAAGGGCGCGATGCCTTTTTCCGCCAGCGGAGGGCGACGTTGGGAAAGCGTCGGATTGCCGCAATAAGGGCGCGATGCCTTTTTCGACCAGCTGAGGGCGACGTTGGGAAAGCGTCGGATTGCCGCAATAAGGGCGCGATGCCTTTTCCCGCCAGCCGAGGGCGACGTTGGGAAAGCGTCGGATTGCCGCAATAAGGGCGCGATGCCTTTTCCGCCAGCGGAGGGCGACGTTGGGAAAGCGTCGGATTGCCGCAATAAGGGCGCGATGCCTTTTCCCGCCAGCCGAGGGCGACGTTGGGAAATCGCCCCCGGGCTTGAGACCACCGAGTGGTGACACGGTCACCTTGGGAGAGACTATTATATACGCCATTTTCCCTTGCAATAAAAAGACAGCATGTTCCTCTTTCCCACCAGCAGGTGGTGATGTTGTCACCCCAGGGGGAAAAGACGGTTCCACCCTCTAGCTGATACCCTTTCTCCCCACTAGGTGGCAACATTGTCACAGCAGGAGAGAGTGTTCTAGACAGCACCTTCTCCGGCACACGCCAGGGTGTCGTACCTTCTTCGACCACCGGGGGGTGACATTGTCACCAGGGGCGGGGGAAGAGAGCCATCCATGCCGGATTTCTTCGCCGTTTCGATGGAAATGAGAAGCCAATCCGGGGGAGGGGAAGGGAGAGGCAACAGGAAACTCCGCCCCTTTTCCCCACCAGCCCCTCCCCCTCCAACATGCCAAATTCTGTCCGATGCAGCCCTGCAATAACAGGAGACAAAGCCAGTCAAGAGGAATCTGGATCCAGACTCCAGGACAATCTGGGCGGGGGGGAGGGTATATGTGGGGGGCGGGTTCTATGCTTGATGGACACCTGTTGTATTTTATTGCTTACTGGTGGGGGGAATATTGCAGGGGGGGTCAAAGCCATTTTCTGTTCCCCTTAGGGCAGGCCTTGGCCTAGGAGACTTTTAATTATCTGAATTGGGTCCCCTGGCATGTGTGTTGCCTACCTCCCAGAGCCAGGGAGAGAACCCAGGAGTCCGGGTTTCCAGCGCCCCCACCCCGCCCACTCTAACCCATCAGCCCCACTCCCCTCCCAGAGCCGGGAATGGAACCCAGGAGTCCTGCCTCCCAGTTCCCCCTCCCCCTGCTCTCACCATCAGCCCCACTCCCCTCCCAGAGCCAGGGAGAGAACCCAGGAGTCCGGGCTCCCAGTTCCCCCTCCCTCTGCTCTCACCACCAGACCCCACTCCCCTCCCAGAGCCAGGGAGAGAACCCAGGAGTCCTGGCTCCCAATTCTCCCTGGCCCCACCCCGCCTCTAATCAACAGATCCTGCACTCCTCCCAGTGTTGGTGACGGAACCCAGGAGTCCGGATTCCCAGCCCACCCATCCCCCACTCCTGCTATAACCCACTCCACCCCATTCCCTTCCTAATGTCAGGACTCCTGGGTCCTCTCCCCAGCTCTGGGAAGGGAGTGGGGGCTGGTGCTTTAGAGCCAGGGGGCAGGGAGCCAGGACACCTGGGTTCCCACCCCAGCTCTGGGAGGGGAGTGGGGTCTGGTGGGTCGGGGGGGGGGGCTGGGAGCCAGGACTCCTGGGTTCCCTCCCCGGTTTGATATTTTCCCAGCCATGATGGGAGGAGAGTCACCTGGCTACACCCCGCTAGCCAGTCTGGCCTCCAGCCATATCCGGGATAAATACCTACAGAGCCCCCCCGAATGGGGGGGGCAGAGGAGAGAGCCATAACTAGCTGCGGAGGGGGGGTCTCCCATCCTCTCCCCATGACAGGCAATAACAGGGGTGTGGAAGAACTCAGGAATATTGGGGGGGCCCCTCTGCCCCCCCCCCGGGCAACTGCCCCTCTTGAGGGCAGGGTTGAAGGTCCGCAGGGAGGGGGGAGGGGTCTGCAGGGAGGCCACAAGGTGGCGATGGGGGGCCCATGACACACAGGAGCGGTTGTGAGTCCCTCTCGCAGGTGAGAGGGAATGGGGGGGGGGGTGGAGCGGCCAGCAGGGGGCAGTAAATGCGAACTCACACTCACACTCACGCCCACACACACGGTTTTCACTCTTTGGGATGTGTCTTGGGGGGTTCACGGGGGGCGCTCTCCCCCGGCAGGCAGGGCTGGCCCCAGAGCGGCGCTAGGGGGCGCTGTGGGGCAGGGAGCGGGGCGGGGGGGCGCTCAGCAGGGGGCGCTCTCCCCTGGCAGGCAGGGTGGCGCTAGGGGCGCTGTGGGGCAGGGAGCGGGGGCGGGGGGCTCAGCAGGGTCGCTCTCCCCTGGCAGGCAGGGTGGCGCTAGGGGCGCTGTGGGGCAGGGAGGCGGGGGGCGGGGGGGCTCAGCAGGGGCGCTCTCCCTCGGCAGGCAGGGCTGGCCCCAGAGCGGCACTAGGGGGCGCTGTGGGGCAGGGAGCGGGGGCGGGGGCTCAGCAGGGCGCTCTCCCTGGCAGGCAGGGTGGCGCTAGGGGCGCTGTGGGACAGGGAGCGGGGGCGGGGGGCTCAGCAGGCGCACTCTCCCTGGCAGGCAGGGTGGCGCTAGGGGCGCTGTGGGGCAGGGAGGCGGGGGCGGGGGGCTCAGCAGGGGCGCTCTCCCCTGGCAGGCAGGGTGGCGCTAGGGGGCGCTGTGGGGCAGGGAGCGGGGCTGGGGGGCGCTCAGCAGGGGGCGCTCTCCCCAGGCAGGCTGGGCTGGCCCCACTGAATCCTGCCACATGGGGCGGGGGACTCAGGTCACGTGCATGGTGGGGGGGGGAGAATCTGGATTGGGGGGCTCCTGTGATCAGGGAGGGGGGTTTCTACGTCTCTCTCTCGTGTGTATTTTGTACAAGCCAACACTGTGTATATCTCTGTACAGCTCTGACCCCCCACCCCTGGGCCCCAACCTGCCCCCAACCACGTGGAGCGGGTGGGGGAGGGGAACACAGGACCCTCATGGGCCCCCCCTTTCCTCTATCCATAGCCCCTAGGCCTCCCCCCATTCCCCTGCTCCCTTCCCCACCCCGATTGGCCCTTCCCTCGTCCCTCTTACTGCCCCTCCCCCTCCTTTCCTACCCCCTACTCCCTCCCTGCCCCCTGCCTGCCTGCCCCTCCCCCTACTGCCCCCTGGCTCCGCCCCTCTTTGGCCCCGCCCCTTACTTCCCACCCCTTTGTAGCTCCTCCTCCTTCCTGCCCCTCCCCCACCCTCTCTCTGAACAGATAGCAATAAGGGCCAGGCCCTGGCCCGCACCCTGGGGTCCCTGCATGAATGACAGCCCCTCCCTCTGCAATAAACCCCCCCCACCTTCTCTCCCCTCAGTACAAAGGGGCCAGGGCCCCCCTTCGACCTGCACAACCAAGGGAATAAACCACATTTCTATGATTCTACCTGGCTCCTTGTGGCTCTGGGGGGCTCCGGGCCTGGATCCAGCTCCAGGATTTACCCGTGTCCTGGGGGGAGGGGCTATGGGGGACTCCAGGCTGGGATCCGGTTCCAGGATTTACCCGTGTCCTGGGGGACTGTGGGGGACTCCGGGCTGGGATCCGGCTCCGGGATTTACCCGTGTCCTGGGGGGAGGGGCTGTGGGGGACTCCGGGCTGGGATCCGGCTCTGGGATTTACCCGTGTCCTGGGGGAGGGGCTGTGGGGGACTCCAGGCTGGGATCCGGCTCCAGGATTTACCCGTGTCCTGGGGGGAGGGGCTGTGGGGGACTCTAGTGGGATCCGGCTCTGGGATTTACCCGTGTCCTGGGGGGGCTGTGGGGGACTCCAGGCTGGGATCCGGCTCTGGGATTTACCCGTGTCCTGCAGGGAGGGGCTGTGGGGGACTCCAGGCTGGGATCCGGCTCCGGGATTTACCTGTGTCCTGGGGGAGGGGGCTGTGGGGGACTCTAGGCTGGGATCCGGCTCCGGGATTTACCCGTGTCCTGCAGGGAGGGGCTGTGGGGGACTCTAGGCTGGGATCCGGCTCCGGGATTTACCCGTGTCCTGGGGGGAGGGGCTGTGGGGGACTCCAGGCTGGGATCCAGCTCCGGGATTTACCTGTGTCCTGGGGGGGGGGCTGGGGGGACTCCAGGCTGGGATCCGGCTCCGGGATTTACCCGTGTCCTGGGGGGGGGGGGCTGTGGGGGACTCCAGGCTGGGATCTGGTTCCAGGATTTACCTGTGTCCTGGGGGGAGGGGCTGGGGGGACTCCGGGCTGGGATCCGGCTCCGGGATTTACCCGTGTCCTGGGGGGGGGCTGTGGGGGACTCCAGGCTGGGATCCGGTTCCAGGATTTACCTGTGTCCTGGGGGGAGGGGCTGGGGGGACTCCGGGCTGGGATCCGGCTCCGGGATTTACCTGTGTCCTGCAGGGGGGGCTGGGGGGGACTCCAGGCTGGGATCCGGCTCCGGGATTTACCTGTGTCCTGGGGGGGCTGGGGGGGACTCCGGGCTGGGATCCGGCTCCGGGATTTACCCGTGTCCTGGGGGGGGGCTGGGGGGGACTCCAGGCTGGGATCCGGCTCCGGGATTTACCTGTGTCCTGGGGGGGCTGGGGGGGACTCCAGGCTGGGATCCGGCTCTGGGATTTACCTGTGTCCTGGGGGGGGCTGGGGGGGACTCCAGGCTGGGATCCGGCTCCGGGATTTACCTGTGTCCCGGGGGGAGGGGCTGTGGGGGCTCCTATCCGGCTCTGTGTCCCGGTGGGAGGGGGCAGCTACCCCCCCGCTCCGATCCAGGGGGTGCTGGAATCCAGATCCGGGATTTACCCGGCTCCCGGCCAAGCGCCTGCCGCTTAACTCCATTCCAGGCCCCATTCCAGGCCTTCCATCTCGCCGGCGGGGGGGGCACGGTGCCCCCCGCCCCCCGCCCGGTTTACCTCAGCCCCACGGAGAACCTGCCCCAGGGGCCATTCCAGGCCACGGGGGAATCTGGTTCCGGGTCTTCCCCATGTCCGGGCGGCCTCAGCCCCAGACATCCGCCCCCCACCCCTCTGCCTGTCCCCCATCCCCCCCGCCCCCCCCGCCATCCCCCCCTCCTCCATTTATCCATCCACCCGCATTCACACCCCATCTATCTGTCCGCATTCACACCCCTCCATCCATCTGTATCGATCTGTCTCCCCCCATCCACCCCCTCCACCCCATTCTCCCCCATCCACCCCTCTATCTACCCCATCCACCCCCTCTCCTCCATTTATCCATCCACCTGCATTCACACCCCATCTATCTGTCCGCATTCACACCCCTCCATCCATCTGTATCGATCTGTCTCCCCCCATCCACCCCCCTCTACCTACCCCATCCACCCCTCTACCAATCTGCCCCCATCCACCCCCTCTATCTATCTGTCTGTCTGTCTATCTATCCCCAGACGCCCCCTCTATCTATCTATCGTGGGTTCGAATCCCGCTGGGGACCCTTCCCCTCCCCTCGCAGTCTCTGGGGCCCAAGGGGTTACAGATCCTGGCTCTCACCCCCTCCCCCCCCCCCCTCAGTCCAGAACAGGTGGTGCCACCAGATTTCCTGTGGCAGCTGTGGAAAATGCCCCCCCCCGGAACCCACCAGCCCCCCCCCACGCCCACTCCAGTGACAGCTGGTGGGACCAATGGGGTGGCTGGTGGGGGGCGGGGGGCCTGGGTGGCAGCCGGGCCTCAAGGAGAGAGACGGACACACGGATGCAGCCATGGCGCGGGCGGCCCCATTGCTGGTGACCCTCTGGCTTCTCCCGGCAGTGGGTAAGCTCAGACCCCCACCCCAAGCCAGGCCCCAGCTAGAGAACAGGGTGGGGGGCCAGAGGGGGCAGGTCAAGCAGATAGAGCCATGGGCACTGGGGTACGATATGGGGACAGAGATTGGATGTAGATGT